AGTGCAAAACCTTCTCAGCTGTACATTACTCTGCCAATATCTCTTCCAATACAGTGTTCCACCCTCTATCTGGCTGGGGAAGCAGACATGTATACAATCAAGGATAACTGATGTGATAAGTGCTCCTTAGGGTGTAATCTAAGTATTGTGGAGCCCAGAGGAGGAAGGAAGTAGTTTCTTAAGAGGATTACAGAAATCAGCATAATGAAAACAGTTGACATTACTTGAGAAGATTCCATATTTATGTTTTATTAATATTATATATTTTAGGAATTATAGAGGCTGAACTATTAAGAGATTAATTCAGAAAATGGAATTACCCCTAGTTTTAGGGCTCCTAGCTTAGAATGGACAAGGGCAGCTTTCTTCACCTGCCTTCCCAAGTCTGTCTGGATTTCTAACCTTCTAGTTTTTATTTCTTAAAATGCTGTTGTTACAGCTTGGGTTAGCCCCCCATATGCCATGTGTGAGATAGGCAGACAACAAGAACAGAATCTTTTTAAGTTTCCATTGACTGCTTAAGATGGAATCATGCTCACTACCATCCTCTGCTTGCAGAGTTTTTGTTTATTCTCAGAGAACAGCATAAACTGCCATTAGTCCAGGTCCTTGCTAGAGATCTCACTTTTTTTTTTTTTATCAATAGCTGTGTTGAGAGAAGTGACATTTATGGAAGATCATTCATCTAAATCAATATTTGACAAATTGTGTTTAGTTGACACTAACGCTGAGAGATTTTTTTGGCTCAGAAATGGCTACTCTAGGAATATGTAAATAAGAATCCCATAATGAATACTAGCCTGTGAGCTGAGTATCACTGTATGGTATGTGTTTTATTGTCGACTGAATATGAATGAATTAAGTTGAGGGCCCAGCACAAAGAGACTAAGAGGTGTTTAGAGGTGAGACTGGAGGTGTAAGTGAGGAAATCATGAAGCTCCTTGTACATCGCTCCTGGGGAACCAGTGGATATTATGCAGGGTGACACTGGCCCTTTAGAAAGTGCATGCTGGCTGCAGAGGGGAAGACAAGATGAAAGAGATATGGGTGTTTTCAGAGAGAACTGGGAGGTGAGGGAAGTTGGGCTGGACCAAGTAGCAAAAGTTAGAAGGGAAGCACACCTGTTGTTGTCTGAGTAGATGTTGGAAGAGAGGGATACAAGAGAGAGAAGAAATTTACAGGTGATCCCAGGTTTCTTTTCCTCATTTATCTGTGTACCAAATACTTACAAATAAGTGCACGATGCCAGACACCTTTCTGGACACTGAGGATGTAGTGAGGAGCAAGATAAACAAGATGCTTTCCCTCTTTACATTCTAGTGGGAGAGACAGACAGAACTCAGATAAACAAATATACCTATTTTTGTTAATTAGACTATGGTTTATCTCACAAAACTAGTGGCTGAAGTGGGAACCCAGATGAAGGAGATCAAAGAGCATGTGGGTGGCAAACCACAACAGAGATGGTCAGTAGTTCTTTAGACTGATTTTTGGAGGAGACAGAAAATTCTAGATAAAATTGTAAATCACACAACATAGACAGTGTATATGACTTATTAAGAAGTTCTCAGGACTGACTGGAGGAGGCAGGGTGGGGGCAGTTTAAGAGTTTGTGACATTGTGTATATAAATCACATTTTCTTTATCCATTTGTTGGATTATTACATGGCAATGAGAAAGAATGAAATCTGGCCATTTGTAGCACCGTGGACGGAACTGGAGGGTATTATGCTGAGTGAAATAAGTCAGGCAGAGAAAGACAGATACCATATGTTTTCACTCATATGTGGATGAGGAGAAACTTAATAGAGGACCATGGGGAAAGGGAAGGGGGACAAATAGTTAAAGAGAGGGAGGGAGGCAAACCATAAGAGACTCTTGAATACTGAGAACAAACTGAGGGTTGATGGGGGTGGGGGAGAGGGGAAAATGGGTGATGGGCATGGAGGAGGGCACTTGCTGGGAAGAGCACTGTGTGTTATATGGAAACCAACTTGACAATAAACTATATTAAAAAATAAAAAACTTAAAAAAAGAGCTTGTGACATTAATCCCCTTGAGAAAGACAAATAACTGACCCCAGAAATATCATTCTTCAGGGAGGAGGAGGTGCATTAAATAGGAGTATTGAAATTAGAAGAGATAGAATGTATTGATGTTGGATGGGAAAATGTTTGGATGGGGCAGTTGGGTCATTGGTGTAAATCTCTGAAATGGGCACCCAGCAGGGGGTGCAGACTTTGGAGTAAGAGGCATTTGTGTTTGGATATGTTGAAATTGTGAAGCTAGCGATGATCCAAGTGCAGAAGTCCAGCAGGAGATACTAGTCCACGTATGTGGTTTCCCCAAACTTTTATGAATAGATATATGATGGAGTAGAGCCTACAGTTGCTATGCCTCTGAACTCTAGGAGGTCCCCCCACACTCCAGATGCACTAGGTAATGATTTAATAGGTAGCAATTCTAAAACCAGAAAGGTCTCAACTCCAGGGTCAGAAACTACTTCATTTTATTCCCTCCCTTGTTTTTGTTTTTGTCAGCTTAGCTTTTTTATGACATATATAGCTTACTATTAATTTCCTGTTATTTTGAAAAAAAAGTAGGGTCACAATGAAAAGGAACAAAGTGCAGGTGTGGGACTATTACTCTATATTATCCCATCTTTTCCACCCATGGCCTTTTACCTCTTAGATGGCCCCCAAGACATAAAATATATTTTTTTCATGTTTATTTTTGAGAGAGAGGGACATAGCGTGAGCAGGGGAGACAGAGAGAGAGAGAGAGAGAGAGAGAGAGAGAGGGAGGGAGGGAAACACAGAATCCAAAGCAGTCTCTAGGCTCCAAGCTGTCATCACAAAGCCCAACACGGGGCTCAAACTTGAGCCACAAGATCATGACCTGAGCCAAAGTCGGATGCTTAACTGCAGCCATTCAGGCCCCCCAAGACATAAAATCTTCTTGTGTTTATGAGTTCTCATTAATAGACAAGGGAATATCTGGAAGGCTCTGGCTTGCCATAGGAAGATGTCAAGAGATTATTAATTGCCTTATGCATTTAAATTCATTGAAAAGCAGCGCTAAATTTAGCCTAGTACATTACTTTAAACAGCTTGCTTTTATTTCAGGGAAATAGGAAATTCTTTTTGCCATTGTACTGTTGTTATGAGAGATTTACTTTGTAATTGAATGAGTTGTGATATATTTACATATCTTTTTTTTTTTTTTTACATTTTACTTATTTTTTTTTTAATGTTTTATTTATTTCTAGGAGAGAGAGAGAGAGAGAGACAGCATGAACAGGGGAGGGTCGGAGAGAGAGGGAGTCACAGACTGAAACAGGCTCCAGGCTCTGAGCTGGCTGTCAGCACAGAGCCCGATGCGGGGCTCGAACCCACGAACCGCAAGATCATGACCTAAGTGAAAGTCGGACGCTTAACCGACTAAGCCACCCAGGCGCCCCAATATATATCTTTGTATTTGGAAATGGTGAAGAAAAGTTCATATCTCTTGCCCTTATTCATTAAAATGGTGATGGAAAATTAGAATTTGGAATTACCAAACTGCAAAGGTTTCCAAGGACAAACATATGAATTTTTGCTTATATGTTGGCCTTATTTTGTGGTTGTGTCTTGGATTATTGAAGTCATTTTTAACTAGTTTGCTCTTCATCATGAACTAAGTAAGCTTTTTTTGGATAGGAGGAGGATGCATTTTGGGTCAATATACCTTCACTTTCTCCTACACTTATACATTATCTTTTTTTAATGTTTATTTATTTATTTTGAGAGAGGGAGAGAGAGAGAGAGAGAAAGAGAGAGAGAATGCACACGAACTGTGATGGGGCAGAGAGAGAGGGAGAGAGAATTCCAAGCAGGCTGCACACTGTTAGCCCAGAGTCCATCGCAGGGCTTGAACTCACTAACCATGAGATATTGACCTGAGCCAAAATCAAGAGTCAAATGCTTAACCAACTGAGCCACTGAGGTGCCCCTATGTTATCTTTAACACAACTTAAAATCATGGATCAGTATATTGCTACAGTGGTAGGTGTGGAATGAGGCCTTTTAAGACTGAGTTTCTAGAGCATGAATGAAGTGTTTTCTGTTTTCTTTGTGGTGCTAGCTCTGGTACTCAGTGCATACGTTTTCCAAACCACATGGTACTACCACTGAAATGATCATATTGTAATCAAGAGTCTGGGTCCCTCCCCATATTTCCCTTACTTCTCCCAATACTCCTTTCATCAGTTTTTTTTTAAATTTTAATTGAAGAATAGTTGACATATTACATTAGTTTAATCAGTTTTAGTGTGTTTGTTCATATTGCTAGGAAAAGTCTTTATGTTGTTTGTTTGTTTTTTAAATAGAGCACAGTGTAGTTAGTCTTCTTTACCACCTAAGCTCAGAATGGAGAAATGAGAGAGACACAAGTGGGCGTGGTTTGATATTTTGTTTCATGGGATAAAAGGTGATTCACTGCAATTGCAACTGTCCCTAAGCCTTGAATCTGGATGGTGTCCAATACAGAAGCCCGTGGGCAGCCTTCTCAATAGAGCGAGAACAGCCCTCAGGTTCGGGCAGACTGTGTGGCTCAGAGCACAGACCTAGGAAGCTTCTTGGACAGTTGCCCTGTTTACTTTTATCCCTGATTTACAGGGAGGCTTTTAGAAGGGCTAAATTCTTTGAATAATGGGGCTGGGGAATATAGTGTTATCAGTATAAGAACAATAAGACAAAAATCTGTAGGAATAGACTAAAGAGTCTCAAAATGTACACTAATTAGAATTTCATGTACTCCAAAATTAAAGCAGAATTTTGAAGGTGAATATTATGCAAGATACTTAAGGCACTTCATGCCCTGGTTTCCAGAATTAAGGAGAACTTTAGGGGGTGTTTGTGAGCAATTCCTGTCCATTCAAATGTTCCTAGATTTTAAAAATCATTTACCATATCTTAGGGGATATTTTCACAAGCCTTTCTGTTGGCTTTCTTGTTTTGCAGAGGACAATAGAGAGCTATGTGGATAAACGCATGGGTACAACATATGGCCCTCCTGCAGGAAAGAAGATGACTGTTTTTATTGATGATGTGAATATGCCAGTAGTCAATGAGTGGGGAGATCAGGTATATTGATCCTATTGCACACTTTATGTCAACTCAACATTGATTTACTCTTTGATGAGTAAATATTTTTCTACTTTTTCAATATGCAATTCCTGAATTCCAATAAAGTCCATTATTGGGAAACACTCAAGGCATTAGCTTCTGGGATGTAAAGGAGTGACCTTTAAATTCTGAACGTTGTCTTTCTTAGGTTACTAATGAGATCGTACGACAGCTGATGGAACAGAATGGATTTTATAACCTGGAAAAGCCTGGGGAGTTTACCAGCATTGTGGACATCCAATTCCTGGCAGCCATGATCCATCCTGGGGGTGGACGCAATGATATCCCCCAAAGACTCAAGAGGCAGTTCTCTATATTCAACTGCACGTTGCCTTCTGATGCTTCCATGGACAAGATCTTTGGTAAAATGGTGTCAGTGGGCCTTGGGGAGGGAAGAATATGTGCTTGCATTCAAATGAGAAAATATCCACCCGGAGGTCAATACAGAAGGGGCATTGGGTGGCTCTTTAGTATTTTTTACCCTATACTCTCAAGTAGTGTTTATATTAGGATTTTTTTTAAATATAAAGGATTATTATATATATGTACTGAATTGGGTGCTGAGGTAGATCTTTTCTACCTTTGTTTTTCTTAACGTGACTGTTGCTAGCTTCTTAAACAAGGAGGCTAAACATTAAATGAACATGGAGGTGATGAGATTGTTTCCTCATGGATATACCTAGTTGAGGTCTGATTGATAGACCACTATGCCAAAAGTTTATGTAGCTGAGACTTTAACCAAGCCACATAATGATTTTGGCCAAAGCAATAATTTTGCCTATAGCAAAGATTAGTCAGAGTCTGATCTTCAGAGTAGTTTACAGGATTGTAATAAGTTACTGATTGATTAAACATGTAGTATTTCAGAAATAATATCTTTGAAGAAACACAAGCCCAGGAGATAACTATGATTGTTGAACTGAGTAATGAAAAGAGTTTATAGTTGATTTTGTAGTTTATTTTTGCAGAGAAAGAGTGTAAAGTTATGTACGCATCATGTTAGGTATTGACTTACCATTTCTGAAACAGCTACTGAGAGAATGCATTAGGATTCCTAATTAATTTCTGGCAGGCTAGAATGTCATCTCAGCACCCTGGGCTAGTGGAGTTTGGCCATATCTGCCTTCAAACGTGGCAGTGGGCAAAAGTGATATGTGAATTGTCTAAACCTGGAAAAAGTACAATGGACCAGAAAAAAAATGACTGTAATCAATTTTAATTATTCTTTTTTGCCTAGAAAGTTTTACATATAAAGTAAATTAAAATATTTTGTAATGCTTGGAAAGGCAATGGTAGAATGGAGAAATCTTAAGGGTCCCTGGCACCTCCCTTTTTCTTATCTCTATAAAGCACATTTATATATTTAACCTCATCCACTTAATAATATTGAATTCATTCACCTAGACTTTTCATTAGTATTTCTTAACTAACTGTTCAGTATTTGGTTGCTAACTTCCTTGAACCTATATCTATTTTTTAGATTAAAAAAAAGAGAAGCTTAATATAGATGTATCTGATATGTGGTCATCTGTTAAACCGTGTATAATAGTTGTGCAAACACTATAGTATAATGTTTTTCATTGTAATTTCACTGACTTGAACCATCAGTCAGAATGTTATGACTTTTTCTTCTTTCAGGTGTGATTGGAATAGGCTACTATTGTAGTCAGAGAGGCTTTTCAGAAGGCGTGAGAGATTCAGTGATGAAACTGGTCCCCTTGACACGTCGACTGTGGCAGATGACCAAGATGAAAATGCTCCCTACCCCTGCAAAATTCCATTATGTGTTTAACCTTCGAGATCTTTCTAGGATCTGGCAAGGAATGCTGAACGTCACCTCAGAGGTTGTCAAGGAACCAGATGTAAGTGACGTGTTTGAGGGTAAAATAAATGGCATTGTTATTTATTCTATTCTGTAATCTGTTATTCATAATATAATGTTTAGTGGAATGATGAAATATTTTAGGATGTTTTAACATGTATTTTTTTTTTTTCCGCTGCTTTTCAACTAACATAAATAAGGGAAAAGTATGTCAGGAAATTTCTTTTAAAAAATTCCAATTATTTGGGGGCGCCTGGGTGGCTTAGTCGGTTAAGCGCCCGACTTTCGCTTAGGTCATGATCTCGCGGTTCGTGGGTTCGGGCCCCGCGTCGGGCTCTGTGCTGACTGCCAGCTCAGAGCCTGGAGCCTGTTTCAGTCTGTGACTCCCTCTCTCTCTGACCCTCCCCTGCTCATGCTGTCTCTCTCTCTCCTAGAAATAAAAAAAAAAAAAAAAAAAAATTCCAATTAAATTTATGTTTAAGGAAATAATATACACAGTTATTTTCTAATGAATGGAATAAAAGAAACAACTGAACTTATCTTCCCATTATAAGATATTTTTCTTATACTAAATAATGGAAAGAATCAGTATTGATCTTATTATGTAATAGTCTTCATATTTTAAACTTGACATTTTAGCTTTAAAGAAGTAATTATCTTTATAAACACTCAAAATTGAAGAGACCATTTTGTTGTTAATCATCCATGATCTTTCCTTTCCATGTAACTAGATGAACTAAAAGAATTATGTATATTGGTTGGTATAATTAAGAAGAGGCAGAAAAGTAGAAAGTCCATTTGGCTGAGAAATGAGCATTTATATACACATTTGAATATAACAGTTCCTAGCATTAGAAGAATTCTCTTCAAACTAGAAACATTATGGAAAAATATAGTGTCTTTTCCCCCCAGAGCACGGCCTGTGTGCTCAGGCTAAGGTAATGTTGGCTTCTTTTTCAGCTTTTTATGCAATGGAGAAGGTATTTAAGCAAGTGGGTTTTAGGGATTTGTCCACATCAATACATAGGAACAGGTGAGATATCAAACAAATCACCACTAGGCATACTGAGTAGTGACTCTAAAAAAAAACCCAACCTTGACCCAGATGCTCATGAAGTAGGTGACAGCACAGCTGACTCCAGAGACATTTTGGGGAAAACTCTCCCTCCTTGTTACAGAGAACAGAGGGCCATTTTAGCAGCAGGGAACATTTTATCTAGATTCTTTCCCCCTCAAAGTCATTGACAAATTAATGGCCATGCGGAATATAGTTCCCCAATGTTATTTTTTGAGTAGCCAGTTTTTGATGCTTACATGAAGTCATCATAAATATTTCCAGCAACTGATGTTATCGTGGCCTTCTGTCTTAATTAACTGAATCATTGAATATATTTTACTAAATTCATTTTATATTTTGGTAATCAATTATAACCAATAGCATTTTATCATTAGTAATATAATAGCTTAAAACCCCCCTAACCTGCAAAATGTTAGCAAGCTCAGAAATTTCCACCAGTCTTTCATATCAAATGTGCTTGCTATAGAAACAAGTGTGTCGAGCAATTAATATCCTCAACTTCTAATGAACTTTGCACCTTCAAGTTGCACCTTGAACTATGTAGACTCGATGATTACTTTGTTCAGAAAATGCAGGTTTTTGCTACAAATTCATTTCACATCGTGTTAAGTAAATATACCCTTCTAATAGTTACATATGTGAAAATTGTTTATACATTTTATTTTCTGGTCTGGCCACCTGAATGTAGGTGTCTTATTCAAACAGACTAATTTATAACAGGTTTAAGGCTTTTACATAGGATATTACCTTGTTGGTTAATCAGAATCATTTTAGTGATTTGTCTAGGGATGTTTTCATTTTCATGTAAAGACTGAAAATGAATAAACACTTCTCTCTATTTGATATACTTGAATCAGACCAACTTGAAATGAAATATTTGTTGTTTAAGTTTATTTTTTGACACAGAGAGAAAGAGAGAGTGTGTGTGCAGGTTGGGGAGGTGCAGAAAGAGAGGGGAACAGAGTATTCAAAGAGGACTCTGCTCTGACAGCAAAGAGTCTGATGTGGGGCTTGAATTCACAAACCATGAGATCGAGATCATGACCTGAGCCAAAGTCAGATGCTTAACTGACGGAGCCTACTAGGCGCCCTGAAATGAAGTATGTTTTAACATTAAGTTTTTATTTTTTTAAAAAAATCATTTTTTTAAATATTTTTATTTATTTCTAGGAGAGAGAGAGAGAGACAGCGTGAGCAAGGGAGGGTCAGAGAGAGAGGGAGACGCAGACTCTGAAACAGGCTCCAGGCTCTGAGCCGGCAGTCAGCACAGAGCCCGACGTGGGGCTCAAACCCACGAACTGTGAGATCATGACCTAAGCGAAAGTCGGACGCTTAACTGATTAAGCCACCCAGTCTCCCCTAAAAAAATCTTTTATGTTTATTTTTGAGAGAGACAGACAGAGCCTGGGTGGAGGAGGAGCAGAGAAAGAGAGAGAGAGAGAGAGAGACCCAGAGTCCAAAACAGGCTCCAGCCTCTGAGCTATCAGCACAGAGCCCTATGCGGGGCTTGAACTTATGGACTGTGAGATCAAGACCTGAGCTGAAGTTGGATGCTTAACCAACTGAGCCACGCAGGCTTAACCTTAAGTTTTTCAAATGTAGCATCTTAGATTGGGAAGGATGGTGCTCTATAATTTTGTCAAATTGATTCCCAACTATGGTAAATAGGAACAAATAACACGTTTTAATTCTGTTTTCAACAGGATCTGTTAAGGTTGTGGAAGCATGAGTGTAAACGTGTGATAGCTGATCGTTTCACGGTTTCCGGTGATGTGACCTGGTTTGATAAGGCTCTAGTAAGTTTGGTGGAGGAGGAGTTTGGTGAAGACAAAAATCCCTTGGTGGCCTGTGGATCTGATGCTTATTTTGTGGATTTCCTCAGGGATGCACCGGAAGCTACAGGTAAACTATTGATGCAGAATTTGAAATTCCACAAAGGGATACCTGAAGACAGAAGGTTCAGGTTAAGGATGCTGCATTTCTGGCTAGGAATCTTTACTGAAACAAGCCTGGGACATAGTAGCTGCTCAATAAATATAGAATGAGTGGATACTGATAGAGCTCAAAGATTACCTATTTTTTATGCATATCAATCTTGCATATAAAGTAGATTTGGGAGGCAAGATAGGATAGAAGAAAGTACCCAGGACTTGTAGCTGTCACACAGTGGTAGGTTTGAGGAAGGGATCTACCAAACATTAACTGGATGACTCTCTGGACTTGAACCTCATTCTTCTCACTTATGAAAGTGGAAATATTGATCTATGTATCATGGGGCACTGCAGGGAATAAATGAAATGTTATCTGTAGAGTGGCTTGGCAGTCTGCCGAATGGAAGGTAGAAGAAACCTTGGTTTATGAATATAATTAATTCCGGAAACTGCTTGTAATCCACAGCACTTGTAGATCAAAGTGAATTTCAAGAACCATTGGCTCAGTTGTTATCATGTGATATTTGGTGACATATACTACTCATATTGCAAGATATCGCTCGTTTATTAAGATAAAATTTATTAGAAATCTTTGCTCGTCTTGCAGAACACTTGCAAAACAAGTGACTCACAATTCACGGTTTTACTGTAATTGTTATTTGGGTCATCCTGAGTGTTGAAATTAGAAAAACCTCAAATACCTGGGAAACCATTGAATACAATTGGAAAGAGATGGCAATATGGCCATAAGCTTTCATAGTTATGGTTCTGTGAAAAATTGAGATATATATATATTACTTATCTTCATATGGAAAGAAGTAGTACTCCAATTACGTTTTTCCTTAAGAAATAACTGAGTGTAAATAGAATATTTTTCTTTCATTTAATTACCTTTTTTTAAAAATACTGAAGATGAATTTCAAGTTAATTTTCATATTTAAACACATGCTATTTATATCTTCTAAATGGTTGAAAATGACCAGGCAGCCCCTTTCCAGATTTGATAAGGATGTGTATGGTCTATCAAAAGTTCCCGAGTGACAGTTGCAAAAGACAGTTTACTGTTAGCTATGCAAGTTGGAAGGATCCTTCCACAGAAAGAAGCTGACACATTTTATTTTAAATCAGGTCACACACGTACAAAAATCTTGTAAGGGTAAGAGCATTTAAAACTGGAATTTATGTATCTCATTTGCTCTAATTCAGAAGGGTAAATAATGAAAATTTATGTATTTTATTTCCTCTAATTCAGGAGGCTAAATAATTAGATTATGGTTTCCAAGGAGCAAAGCACAACTGGGGCATTTTTGCTGGGCGGGTGTGTGGGAGGCAAACACATAACCTTTGTTGACTTCAAAGCACTTTGTTTCTCAAAGCTTGAGTTGAACATTTATAAAAAGTGAAGTGACTATTGAAATTTAATTGGTGGGGGCTTTGCAAATAAGCCAATCTTCATGATTATGTCAAATCAATTTTCTTGCTTTGTCACCAAAAGGTTAATATACTATTATATTAGGACAAGGTCAATCGACAATAATTATGTACTATTAGATTTGGAAGATCCACTCAGTCTTCTAGTACCCAGTTGTTACTGGCTTATTCAACTCACATGTCACTCTTTTTCCTGTTATTAATGTTAACTGATGGTGAACTTCCAGATGCCAAATGTAGCTTTCCTTTGGCATTATGCTTTATACTCAAAGATGGAAAAGTATTAAGCTGGTATATATGTGTTTCTAATTTTTAAAAAAGCATATCGATTTTAATAATCTTTTCCCAGTGACATAATTCAATATGTTTGTTTAGGAAATCATTATTCTGTTTTCTCTCAACCCTCTACCTCCATTCCCTAAAATTCATTCTACCTTCACCGCTGACCTCAAATTCCTGAGTCATAAGAATTTCCTGTGCAAATGCAACGACCTTTTCCTTTTCATCTTATTAAAAATTTCTTGGGGCACCTGGGTGGCTCAGTTGGTTAAGCATCTGACTTTGGCTCAGGTCATGATCTCACGGTTCGTGGGTTCGAGCCCCGCGTCGGGCTCTGTGCTGCCTGGAGCCTGCTTCAGATTCTGTATCTCCCTTTCTCTCTGACCCTCCCCTACTCACGCTCTCTCTCTCTCTCTCTCAGAAATAAAAACATTAAAAAACATTAAAAGTTTATTTTAAGTCTTCACCTCTCTTGCTGATTTTGACATTAAATCTCTACTTTTTTGACCTTCATTTTGACCATTAAGCGAATATCCCTGGAAAGTTCATTGAAATGCCAATATTCAATTATGGATTCAAATTAAATTCAATATATATCACATTATTTGAAATTGGCCTTTTCTAGACAGAAAAGAACCAAGATTGCATATGTTCACAGAAATTCCAGTGATTTTACTATTGTTTGCACTTTTTCTTTTCTAAAAATATATACTGTGGCATTTGGATGAAAATCAGTATTATTCAGTGTAAATTGTAGAACTATGAGTGTATTAATTTAGGTTGAAGGAAGTAATAAAATCTGGCAATTTGAAGAAACAATTGATTTTTCTCCCTAATTCCCTAGGTGAAACATCTGAGGAGGCTGATGCTGAAATGCCCAAAATTTATGAGCCAATTGAATCTTTTCATCACCTAAAGGAGCGTTTGAATATGTTCCTGCAGCTGTATAATGAGAGCGTCCGTGGCACTGGCATGGATTTGGTGTTCTTCGATGATGCCATGGTTCACTTGGTCAAGGTCAGTGGCCACACTCACTAACACTTCCCCAAAGTGATGGACGCGTGGCTTCACACCAGAATTTTTTCCCTCCTCTTTCATTTTCATCTCCTAAGAGACTATTCAGTTTAAAAATAAACTCAATGCTATAGTCCAATTTAATTTCTAAACTGAATGCAACATGTCACACTTATAGGCTGAAAATCAGCCTGAAAATCAGAGCATGTCTACTTCCAATGTGTGATATAATTTTATTCAGTGTTGCTATACAGCTTCCAGCTCAGTGTTTTTGCCACATAGAATGAATGTGGTTGACCTCTGAGTTCAAAGCACAGGCAAGAAGTCTGTTTATTTGTTGCATTATGCAAAGGAGAGCTGTAAAACATAGTGCATAAGCTCTGAAGACTTTATGCTTAGTGAAATAAGCCTGTCACAAAAGGGCAAATATTGGATGATTCCACTTGTCTGAGGTACCTAGTACAGTCAGATTCATAGAGACAAGAAAGTAGAATGGTGATTGCCAGGGGCATAGGGATAGGGAGTGTGGGCAGTGTTTAGTGGCACAGAGTTCCATTTTTGCAAGATGGAAAGAGTTTTGGAGATGGCTGTTTGTGATGGTTGTACGACCATGCCATTGAACTATACACTTAATGGCCAAGATGGTAAATTTTATGTCATATATATTTTACCACAGTTAGAAATGATAATTAGGAAATAGTGCCTCAACAATTGGCTTTGAGCTGGGTGAAAATTCTGCTAGAATGAAATTTACCAGGAAAGTACATTTCCTTTCTACTTTGTCATAGGGGTCATTGAGTATCTCTTCATAGGATAGGCTTTCAAAGATTGGAAGCAAAATATTATTTACTTGATAATTTATGTGACCTAATTTATCTGTGATGGATGATAATGCCATTTTGTTTGTTTCTTTATTCATTTATTTAGAGTGCGAGCAAGTATGCAAGTGGGGAAGGGGCAGAAAGAGAGCAATTGAGAATCTTAAGCAGGCTTCATGCTCAGCAAGGAGCCCCGTGGAGGGCTTGATCTCACAACCCTGAGATCATGACCTGAGCCCAAATCAAGAGTCGGCTGCTTAACCAACTGAGCCACCCAGGTGCCCCAAGATAACTCAATTTTAAATCTGTTGCTGATATTCTCACTTTGTTCATGTCAATTTCTTTCTCAGACTATATCCCTTCAGTTAGAAAAAGGACAGCTCGAGGCTGTCTTCCATTGCTTAGGTTTAGTCATGAGGAGCAATCTTATAATTAGAAATTGTCTCCTCTTATAGTTTCTGACTCTAGAGTTCATCTAGTCGACCTTCCCTCTGAATGTAGAAGAGAGTGGGGAAGGCTTGGGAATGTCAGGGAGAGGGAGGAAGACAGAGAGGCTGGTCTGGGTTGGGTTTCCCCACAAGAAGGCATTTAGCTTGGACACTTAGACTTCTCAGAATCTGAGACATATGTACCAAATTATGAGCACAGACGTTCTTCCAAATATAAATAATAAGGAGAGCCTGGGTGGCTCAGTCGATTAAGTGTCTGACTTCGGCTCAGGTCATGATCTCACAGTTCGTGGGTTTGAGCCCCGCATCAGGCTCTGTGCTGACAGCTAGCTCAGAGCCTGGAGCCTACTTCAGATTCTGTATCTCCCTCTCTCTCTGACCCTCCCCTGCTCACGCTTGCTTGCTCTCTCTCTCAGAAATAAATAAAACATCTTAAAAAATCATGGCAGTGTGTCATATTTAATGATTAAAAGGAAGAAGAAAAAAAAGAAAATAAATAATACCAAAGGCAACTTCATAACTAACATCTCTTGGAGACAAAATCTGATTGGGCTAGGATTTCATAATGGCTCAGATTGAAATGAGACTATTGTTAAAAAAAAAAAAAATGAGACTATTGTTATCCTTGTGCTTAATTAAGTTCTCTAGAATGGTCTCATTTCCGTGTTTCAACCGGAGTATGAGCAATGAGCATTCCTTCACTTCACAAAGTGGGCACATGACATTTGAGGCACAGGTGACTCAGCACAGGGTCTTTGACTGTTTGCTTCAGTTTCTCTCTCAGTCTCTTGTGTCTGCTCTGGAATTGGCTGAAGAATTCCTGACTGGAATTTTTGAGCTAAGATGCTACATTCCTCACAGTCTCCTAGGCCAACTCTCTTCTACTTTCTTGTTTCCCTATGAACAGTACTTCCAAACTGTCATGTGGATATGACCCTTGAAATATGTGACCTAGTTATAAGAAGTGATGGAAGCTACAAGACAGAATTAAGATGAAAATTATAGCAAAACAGGATGTGGTATGGACCAGGCAGATTTCTTAGTTCCTTTCTTCATTAAACTAATGATTTTCTGGGGCTCAGTTGGTTAAGCCTCCAACTCTTGATTTTGGCTCAGGTCATGATCTCAGGGTCAGGAGATCAAGCCCTGCATCAGGCTCCATGCTAGGGCCTGCTTAAGATTCTCTCTCTCCCCTACCGCATTCCCTCTTTCTCTAAATAAAATAAAATTAAAATAAAATAAAATAAAATAAAATAAAATAAGTTAACTATTTTATTTCAAAACAGAGCGTATTTCCGTGACAGCTCTTCTGTCTCTTTGGTTAAGATTCAAACCATGGCGTGAGTGGTTTTTCATGGTCTAGCCCCTGCTTAGCACTCTAGCCTGTGCCATATTTTGGAAATTTTCTTCAATTCAGTTTAAACTCTCTGCCATTTTTCAAATATGGAGGATATTCTAATCAACTCTTCTGTCATCCAAGGATATACATTGTCTTGAAATTTCAGTCTCTTTCCTCTCTCTCAGAAATGAATAAAAAAATTTAAAAAAATTTTTAAAAAGGGGCGCCTGGGTGGCTCAGTCAGTTAAGCGTCTGACTTCGGCTCAGGTCATGATCACACGGTTTGTGGGTTCGAGCCCCGTGTCAGGCTCTGTGCTGACAGCCAGCTCAGAGCCTGGAGCCTGTTTCAGATTCTGTATCTCCCTCTCTCTCTGACCCTCCCCTGCTCTCTCTCTCTCTCTCTCTCTCTCTCAGAAATAAATAAAAAATATTTAAAAATTTAAAAAAAAAAGAAATTTCAGTCTCTTTCTTGTCCCATGGCATTAGGCTGGGAGACTAAAAGGAAACCTCCAAGTTTCCTTTCCTTCTTTCCTTTAAAACCCAGAGCAGGCCAGAGAGGGGGCCTTAGCTGACGTCTCTGTACTGGTCTCCTCTTGTTTCCCAAAGGCACCCCCAACACACACTGTGTCTAGTACTTTTCAAACCCCATTCTATTTCAGAAATGCTCTCCTTCAGCCAGTCAGCATCTCTCTCCATTCCGATTCTGAGACACATATGGCTTTCCTATTGCATAAATAGGAAAAGATGGGATATTTACACGTTGAACACTGATCTGTGTCTTTTCTATTCCACCTTCCAGATCTCACGTGTCATTGGTACGCCCCGGGGAAATGCCCTCCTGGTGGGGGTGGGCGGATCAGGAAAGCAGAGCCTGACAAGGTTGGCTTCATTCATTGCTGGCTATACTTCCTTCCAGATCACTCTGACAAGGTAACAGGCTTTCACTTTAATTAACCTGAAATGGATTTTGATAGCAGGTTCTCAGAGGCCAGTTGAATTTAAGAATGCATTTTTTCTTATACATAAGGAGTCATAATTGTTTTCCTTTTTAAATGTTGACTTATCATTGTCCTCTTTCAACCTTTGTTATAGATATGAAATTTTCACATTAATAATTTCCTTTTGAAATATATCAGCCTCTCAGTGTTGTGAAGAGCTTGTGCATGCCATGAGTGTCCTGTGTATTCCTTTCGGTGTATTTCCAAAGAAACTTATTCCTACTAAATATTCATTCAGATTTCAAGCATGTTATTAACTAGAAAAGTAGATGAAAATTTTGTATTGATTCACTGTTGATACATTTAAAAATATTTGTTGAACACCAACTATGCATCAGGCACAGGTCAGGTGCTAGGGAGCACATGGTAAACACGGCCAACCTGGCCCATGTCATCACAAAGCTTACAGCAGTCAAGGGGTCAGACAGCTGAGCAGTTCATCCAGTAAGGTGTCATCTGTAGGGGGTACCTGGGTGGCTCAGTCGGTTAAGCGTCTGACTTCAGCTTAGGTCATGATCTCACAGCTAGTTGGTTTGAGCCCCATGTCAGGCTCTGTGCTGACAGCTCAGAGCCTGGAGCCTGCTTTGGATTCTGTGTCTCCCTCTCTCTCTGCCCCTCTCATGTTTGCTTGCATGCTCTCTCTCTTTCTCTCTCTCAAAAATAAATAAACATTAAAAAAACTTTTTTAAAGGTGTCATACGTAAGTGCTATCTATGAGAAGGGAAATAAGTGCAGGCCAGCTCCTATTAAAACATGAAGGAGGGACTCCTAACCTAGTTTAGGGGATGGTCAGAAAAGGCTTTCTGGGAAGGCCTGAGTATGAATAGGATTTATCTCAGAGAAGAAGAATGGTAAAGAATGTTCCAGGCAAAAAAGATCAGCACATGTGAAGTCACACTGAGGCCCTGGAAGAAGTAAAATATGGGTGGGTGTGCAGCATAAGACAGCAAGTGGGAAAGGAATAGAAATGGAGGCCTTTGAAGATATGATAATGAATTTAGACTTCATCCTAGAGCAACAGGAAACCAATAGTGAGTTACTGCTAGGGAGGGCCTGTGGGTTTGTATGTATAGAAAATGGATGGAAAGGGCTAAACAGGAATAGTCATAAGACTATCCCAGGGACTTAGGCAAGAGATGATGGGTCTTGAATGGTGGTAGTAAGAATGGAGAAAAAAGGACAGACTTGAGATCACTGGAAAGTTGAACAGGTGGACTTGGTCCATCCTAGGTCTGGCTTGGGAAGATGATGCATACACTGACACATACACTCCTCAAGATAGGGAACCCCAGGAGGATTATTCTTGGACATATGTGTGTAGGGCAGGCAGAACCAGGAAGTGAAGAGTCGGCATGAAGAGAAAAGGGCGATTCAGAGGGGCTGAATGGAATTTCCGGATTAATCAAGAGAAGCAAGAGGCCAGTTTGGGAAGTTTAGTTGGGCTGAAAATGATCAGAGGTTAACCTGCAGGTGTGGGCACAGGAAGTCTTGCCTGTTGGGCGTTGCTCTAGAGCTTTGCCCTACTGGGCCCTCCTGCACCCCTCATCTGTCTTACTGATGGAGGCCAATAGATACCTGCTCGGACAAAGATCAAAAATGATTAAAAACTGGGCTTAAGGTCCAGCTATTCATGTGTTGTTACACTTTTCATTTGGTTCAAATTATGTGCTGCTTATTGGAGAAGAAATCTAAAAGATTGCTGTTTTTATTAAGTACTAGGACAGAGAGAAATAATTCTAATTGCCATGTGTAGAATTGTTCTAGTTTGGATAAAAGCAGAGTTTGAGAAAAGATATCCTATACAGGAAAAAGACTGGGCTCTGAGAGTTTTTTAAAAAATGTTTTTTAGTTATTTATCTTGAGAGACAGAGAACGTGAGGGGAGGGGCAGAGACAAGATAGAGAATCCTAAGCAGGCCCCACTCTGTCAGCGCAGAGGCTGATGGCAGGGCTTGATCTCATCGATCTTGAGATCATGAACTGAGTCAAAATCAAGAGTCAGATGCTTAACTGAATGAGCCACCCAGGCGCCCCTGGACTCTGAGATTTTTGTTCCCAACATTTATTTAAAACCTTACAGTTTTCAAAGCACTTTTATATGCACAAGCTAATTTGGTCCTTAAAAGAACTTTATGGGCTAGCAGGGCATATAATATTAGCCTATCTTATAATGGAGACTCTATCACTTGTAGGAAATCCCAGATCTACCTGGGAATTAACCACAGTATTTCAGGTTTCTGGTCTGGCTTGACTTTCACTGTGCCGCAGTGCCTCAGGAAAAAATGTCTTGTACCTCCTCTCTCTGTGATAAATTAGTTCCTCTGCATGTGCTTTGTTACTGATGGAAGGGAGGGCCAAGGTCTCCTAGCCCTCCCTCAGCCTTCAAGAGGCCATCTTACTGCCTACACCTCTGCATAGCTATGTGGCCACGAGTCAGGAAGCAAGAAGCCCACATTCCAGAAGCACAGACATTCGTAAGAGGGCTCAGGTCATAATTTGAGGCAGTGGACCCTTGTTACAGCAGACTGGGCTGGAAGTTTTCTCAAGTCAGGAGAAGCTGCGATGAGTTATTTTCTTTTCTCTCTGTCAACCTCTTTAATGGGGGACTGCATCTTTGAAATTCTTTTCTAATCTCTCAGATCTCACTTCCCCAGACATTTTCTTAAAATATTGATGCATGGTTGTGGGATTTCTGGTTCTAGGGTGTAGGGTTTAGATGATCAAAAAGCACAGAGCATAGAAGTTAAATATTTAGTAGCTTAAAAAAATCAGAAGGCCATTTGCTCTTGGGCTCTGAACTCTGAGTTTATTTAATGACAAAAAATTTCACATAATAATTTAGTAAGTCTGAATCTCTTGGATTGAAATATCTTTATTTTTACTTTTCATGGTAATGGGCTTCTCTGTATTGGGACATCTCTAATATTTCATGATTGCAGGCCAACTTCCACTAAAGGATTGCTTTTCATGGTGAAAGAGTGTGATATTTAGAGTGTGATATTTCATGTTTCCAGCCATTTTCCTACAGTGTCCTGATTGCTTAGAAAACTCTTTTATGTGGAATCCAAAGATGTGTTGGAGGATGAGAAGGCATCATTCTTTATTAAGATTTTATTTTTAAGTAATTTCTACACCTAACGTAGGGCTCGAATTTACAACCCCAAGATCAAGAGTCGCATGCTCTTCCAATGGAATCAGCCAGGCACCCCAGAGAGCACCATTGGTAATAGGGCATCTCCCTCCCTCAAGTCTAAAGAATTAGACTTGAAATTATTTAATGTAGATTAATTTGTGAGATATCCTTAAAATTGCAATTGGGTGCTTAGCAAACATTCCAATGTAACTTTTGTTTTAGCATTACTAACAAATAGTTTCAAAATGAAATATATACAGGTTCAGATGACATTTCGCCGTCGTAAAAATGATATTTTGGTTTCAGGCTGACTTTTCACTCTAGGTGTTTATTTTGTGTCACAGAAAGCTATAATAGTTCGAGAAATGTGGAGTTTAAAAAGTAGTTTCAGATTTGCAGGTAAATATAATGTTATTTGACTTGATGTTAACTAGACTTATTGTGGTGATCTTTTTACAATATGTGTGATATGGAAATATTACATTGTGCACCTGAAACTAACATAGCATTATATGTCAATTATGCCTCAAGAAAAAAAAATAGTTCTTAACTTTAGTGAATAAGGAAATACTCGAAATTTTAACAAGATGTTGGACTTCAATTACTCCCAAAGGAATAGCGATTCAGAACTGAAAGAAACTTTTAAAACATCAGTTTCATCCTTGTAAGTAAATACAATGACCCAGTAACATTCACATTCAATAAAATCTTGTCTGATGGAACAGTATCAGCATTTCTTTTTATTAACATAATGCACAAAAGCATTTCTTTTTATGCCGTATAAGGTCAAATGGCATAAAGCATTGTCATAAGATCTTTCCTTTCCATTAAAGTAGTTTAGCTGGTGACACAATGACAATATTTCCTTAGGTCCTATAGCACATCAAATCTAGTGGAAGACTTGAAGATTTTGTATAGAACAGCTGGGCAGCAAGGTGAAGGGGTCACTTTCATCTTCACGGACAATGAGATTAAGGAAGAGTCATTTCTGGAATATATGAACAACGTTTTATCATCGGGTGAGGTAGGAGCCCATTTACCTTCATACATTTTGACTCCTCAGATTCCCTCCAACTTTAGAGGTCTCGCATCCTTCCGTTATGGTTTTTGAATGAGTGCTATTATTGGGAATTAGGAGATAAGCAAGAAGAACTGCTTTTTCTGTTGGGTTCAGAGAATAAAACTGAGCTGATTGGATTTTCGATGTGTCCATTTACCCCCTCAAAAGGCTATGACTTTGCAGTTAATAATAGAATCGTTTGTGTATTTTAAAAAGTGGGGTATCTTATCTTGAGGACTTGGTTATTTATTTTTTTAAAGGATATGCAAAAGCTTTTTATTTTGCTGTAGTACTAATAGTTTATTTTTGCTTTTGTTTCCCTTCCCTGAGAAAACACATCTAAAACAATGTTACTAAGGCCAATGTCACAGACCACTTCCTATGTTTTCTTCTAGGAGTTTAATGGTTTCATGTCTTATATTTAGGTCCTTAAGCCATTTTCATTTCATTTCATTATATTTAATTTAATTTAATTTAATTTTATTTATTTATATTTAGAGAGACAGAGAAAGAGACAACATGTAGGCAGAAAGAGGGAGAAAGAATCCCAAGCAGGCTCCAGGCTCTCAGCACAGAGCCTGATGCAGGGCTTGATCTCACAAACTGAGATTATGACCTGAGCTAAAATCAAGAGCTGGACACTCAACCGACTGAGCCACCTAGGCTCCCCATTACCATACTGGTTTTGATTATTATAGCTTTATAGTATATTTTGAAATCTGGGATTGTGATACATCCAACTTTGTTCTTTTCCAAAGTTGGCTTTGGCTATTCGGGGTCTTTTGTGGTTCCATACAAATATTAGGTTACTTGTTCTAGTTTTGCAGAAAATACTATTGGTATTCTGATAAGGATTGCAATGAATCTGTAGATTGCTTTGGGAAATATGGACATTAATAATATTAATTCTTTTAATCAATTAGCATGGGAGCATACTCAGTCAGTTGAGCATCTGACTCTCGATTTCGGCTCAGCTCACGATCTCACGGGTTCATGGGATGGAACCCCGTGTCAAGCTCTGTGCTGACAATGTGGAGCCCGCTTGGAATTCTCTCTCTCCTTCTTGCCTCCACCCCCCATCCCTGCTCACATGCGTGTATGCTCTCTCTCTCTCAAAATAAATAAATAAACATTTTAAAAAGTCTATAAGCATGGAATGTCTTTCCATTTGTGTCATGAGGACTTTGGTTAATTTTCTAAAGGTGAGTTTTAGGACACAAAAGGAGGAAAGATATCATATGTATTGAGCTATAGATTTTGATACGTTTTCATATGCCTGTACTGAATTTGAATGTTTGCATTTCTTTTGAAGGTCTCCAACCTATTTGCTCGTGATGAAATTGATGAAATAAATAGTGATCTTGTACCAGTCATGAAAAAAGAATACCCCAGGCGCCCTCCTACCAATGAGAACCTGCATGACTACTTCATGAGTCGGGTCCGACAGAACCTTCACATTGTGCTCTGCTTTTCACCTGTGGGGGAGAAATTTCGAAATCGAGCTTTGAAGTTCCCTGCCCTTATTTCAGGATGCACCATTGACTGGTTCAGCCGATGGCCTAAAGATGCCTTAGTTGCTGGTTAGTGTGGTGGACATTTTGGTCAGTTTTTGGTTAACATGTGTGTGTGTGTGTGTGTGTGTGTGTGTGTGTATTTATTTATGTTCTGTTCTGTTTCCTCTCTCTGTACAGGATTGAGCCCAAAGTCACTTTGTCCAATATTTAAGGATTTTTGCAAGCTGGTGCTCTTTCATAGTAGGTGGCAAATTTTTCCCAGAGTGTGGTTATCAGACAGTGATCATCAGTCTCTACTCCCTTGGATTCATTTCCAGTGATTCTAGTCTTTTCAGGGACGCTTACAGGCTTGGTCTCAGTTGGACCCCCAGGGATGTTCAGGGTGTCCCAGGAAGGCACTGACATTTTAACTGCTTCGATAGCATTTGTGTTCTTTTCAAAGCGGGTTGGCCACCCTCAGAGTAGTTGAAGCCAAATGTCTCTTGGACATTTTGTTCTCATGACTGCAGTCCGGGAAACCAAAGAAGAGAACATTATCCAGCAATCCTCTGATGGTTCCTGTCCTTGAAAGGAATGTTAGCTAGAGGGTTCTGTGACTTGGTTCCTTGCTGCTTCCACTTCTGTGGAAGTGACATTAGGAGAGAAGATGTCAGAGATCATTTAGATCATGTTTTTTCAGCTTTGGGTGAGAAATTATTTGTGGATATTTTAAATGACAGGGATGTTTAGGCCTCACCCTTGACCTGTTGTGTCAGAACCTTGGGGGTGCCCTGTCTCAGTGCAGTGGTTTTCAAACTTTCTGTCTGGTTATGTTTTAAAAATAGTTAAGAAAAGTCCTGTTTCCCAGAAATACCTTGCTGGTAGCCTTGATAGACAAAAGCGAGGTGAGGGACGTGAGGAAGGTTCTGGAGCCTGCCCTCTCAGCCCTAGCCCACATCTGTGCCATGCCCACATCTGGCTCTCCGGTTCTGTGGTGCCCAGTGTGCGAACATCTCCTGCCCTTTATAGATGGAGACACTGAGGCCACAGAAGCGGAGGGAATTGTCAGAGATGTGGGAGGCATTAGGGTCTGTACTGGGGCTAGAACCCAGGTTTTATAGATTTATGTATATTCCTAACAAATTCTTATCCACCAGGGACATTTTGTTCTCCACAAACTGCTATTGACAATAATGTTTTTCCAATGTGGCTTTCAAACACAGAAGAGTTTAACATATTCGAAGTACACGTGTACATTTTCCTCTTTTGTCTTCTACGGTTTGAGAAAAGGCCAGTGATTTAAAATTTTAAGTCCTCTTAAAATGTAAACACGACTAAGGGAAAAGCTTTAAAATTCCTCAAAGTAGGATATAAATGCAGAGCACACAATGACAGAATTTAAGAGCTGTATTAAATTTAACTATGAAACATGATAATTAGTATACAAGTACTTTGTAGAGTAGCATGTAAGGTATTATTATGAACAATAAAATAACAATTTCATGTGACAAACATTGTAATATACCATAATTAAGATTATTTAATTTAAATATGGAGCCCTTCCTACTAGGTCTATATTTCAATCATCTCTTCTATTACAAGACAAAGGCCTCACTGATCTTTCCTTTGTTAATTTCTCACACATCCACCCCTTTCTTTTAAATCTCATTGTATTAACCCAAGTCAGGATTGATTACATGAGGGTCAGGGAAACTTACATTTCTGTGTAGTTGTTTCCTAGTTAGTGTCCTGATTTTCTATGGGTGTGTCTCCTTGTTTGTTTATTGAGAATGTATTTATTGAACTCCATGCTGTGTATAGAGCCGGGCACAGTAGACGGTAAGGTGGGCTTGTTGCTTCAGTCCGAATCCTCTCCCCAGGCAAGCTCATCCTCAGCTTCCTGGGTGATATGTCCCATCAACCTCTCTTTCTAGTCTAGCCCATTCTCTGGCTTGAAATCCGTGCGCTTGGCTGCCTGCTTGATACATTCTCATGGGGGGGTTCACAGACCGCTACTCCACTGTGTCTGTGACTGAAATGCCTCTCCTCTGGTCCCTTCCCCAGGAAGTCCCACCATCGTCCACCAACTATGCAATCAGAGAGCTTTGTCTTTGTCTTGATCATCCCAGCCTCCTTCAGCTCTCAAGTCTGCTCCATTGCCAAGTCACTTTGACTTTTATCTGTTTTTAAAAGTTTATTTATTTATTTGTGGCGAGAGGGTCAGAGACAAAAAGAGGGAGTGGGAGAATCCCAAGGAGGCTCCACACTGCAGCTCATAGCGTGACACAGGGTTCAATCTCATGAGCAGAGCCGAAATCAAGAGTCAGACACTTAACCAACTGAGCCACCCAGGTACCCTGTGTTGACTTTATTTTTTAAACATTGGGAGACTGTTTCTAGCGCTTTCCCTCTCACAGATGTCCGAGGCCAAGCTGTCACTGTTGCTCACCTGGAAAACACAAATTGCTTTCTTATGACCTCTCCTCTCTCAGCTGTCTGCCGTCTATCCCACAATGCTGACAGAGAATGAGGAAAACACAAACCCAACCACACAACTTTCTACTTAGAACCTCGCATCACCTCCCCATGCTCTTGGGGGAAAAGGCCATGTTATCTAGCCTGGCCTCCCAGGCTGGGAAGTGACCCTGCCCACCCCACCCCCACCCCCATCTTCCCTTGAGGTCTCTTTTTCTTCCTATTCTGTTCTTGATCCTTGAACAGGCTGCTTTTTCTTCCCACATGACACTCTCCTCCTCCATCCTACTGAACCCCTCCTCCTTTTGTCTGGATGGTGCTGGGTCAGTCAAAGATCCCTTCCTAAGGGGAACAATCCTAATTCCCTTTCTCTCCACAAAGCCTGTTCCCATACTATCACTTCATAGCACTCTGTGCTTCCTTCCTGGGACTAACCATAGTCTGCTGTTTATATAGTTAGGTGTGTGTTTATTTGATTAATGCTGATCTGTCCCACTAGACTAAAAACTCCATGAGGTCAAGGATTATCTATCTTTTATTCACAATCATGGCAGCAACCAGTGTCTGATGGTTACAGTGTTGAAGGAATGAGTCAGTCTGTCAAAGTTCATTTACTTACCCAACCCAAACCTTCCCTCTCTTCTTCTCCCCAGATATACCTCTTTTGTTTGTCCTCTGAATGTGCTTTGATCGGTCTTATCTTCCATGCATTGTCCCCATTGGATCAAGAATATTCTCTTTTGTCTCCTCTGTTTATCTAAGTTTCAGAGCATAGTCAGAACTCATCACATCCTTCACTCTTGTTTTGTTCACTAAGGAATATTTCGTTTCCCGCCATCTCATCTTAGACCTCCTATATCTATAGCATGCAGACTTTATATCATGTACCTGGGTATTGAAATCTTCTTAAACCTTTGATAACCTATAATTTTTTGTGGTTATGTCTCCAGTCTAGTCTGGTAAGTGTTTACTGTGCTACTCACAGTAGTGGATAAAATAATTATAAGACATAGCTCCTTTACTTAATAAATACAAAATCTTGTTGGGAAAACCAACATCTGCACACCTAATATTAACCTTCCTTATGTTAATTTGAAAGAATACCATATGTGGGTATTGCAAATGCTTAATATCTTTAGGAACTTAAGTGTTGTTTATTCTTTTTAGAAAATTAGCAATGAGGTTTCTAGAAACAGCCTTATTTAAGTTGTCTTCAAGATGCTGGTTCTAAGTTAAATTATTATCTTCAGCCACATCAGTAAGGAAATATATAATTACATTTGTGCTGGTATATTTCATTTAGTTTATACTAAATATTTCCCATAAAATATAAAATTACTGTATATTTTTATCATTAATTAATATTAATACTTTATTCTTTAAGATACATTTTATTTTTGCTTCTTAAACCAGTTTATTGAGGTATGAGTGATATACAAAGAGCTGTACATAATAAAATATACACCTTGACATATTTCAAGGTAAAACACATCCATGGGACTATCATAGTAATTTGTGCTATAGATATACCCATCACCTCCAGAAGTTTTCTTCTGATTTCTTTAGTTGTTCTGATGGTGACGGTGATGAAGAGGATGATATGGTGATTTTGTGATAAAAACACAACATAAGATCCCTTCCAGTTATTTTTAAGTATACAAATAGCATTGTTAGCTACAGGCATCATGATATACAGTAGACCTCTAGGACTTACTCATTTTGAATAATTAAAACTTTGTACTTTTTGTTACTTTCTGACTGGGAGGAGGAGGAAATGGGACACCCTCTTCCTAGCTCCTGGCAATCACAGTTCTACTCTCTGCTTCTGTGAGTCTGACAATTTCAGATTCCTCCTATAAGTATCATGTAGTATATGTCCTTCTGTGTCTGGCTTATTTCACTCAGCGTAATGCTTCAGGTTTACCCATGTTGTTGCAAATGGCAGGGTGCCCTTCTTTTTTTTAAGGCTGAATAATATTCCATTGCATGTATATCCATTTATCCATCAACAAACATTTAAGTTGTTTCCATGTCTTGGCTACTGTAAATAATGTCATGAGCACAGGGGCACAGATACCTCTGTGACAGTGATATTACTTCCTTTGGAAATGTGCCTGGAAATGAGATTGTTGGATTGTATGGTAGTTTTATTTTTAATTTTTTGAGGAACTTCCACACTGTTTTCCATAGAGGCTGCACCAGTTTACATTTCCACTAATAATGCACGTGGGCTCCCTTTTTTGCACACTCTTGCCAACGCTTGTAATCTTTTGTTTTTTTCGATAATGGTCACCCTAATTTATATGAAGTGACATCTCATTGTTATTTTGATTTGCATTTCCCTGATGATTGGTGATGAACACTTTTTCATAATACCTGTTGGCCATTTGTGTGTCCTGTTTGGAGAAATCTCTTTTGAGTTCCTTTGTCCATTATTTTTATAAAATTTTTTTTAAGTTTACTTATTTTCAGAGAGACAGAGACAGCATGAGTGGGGTGGGGGGCAGAAAGAGAGAGAGAGAGAGAGAAAGAATTCCAACCAGGCTCTGCATCATCAGCACAGAATCTGTTATGTGGGGCTTGAACTCATGAAGTGTGTGAGATCATGACCTGAGCCGAAATCAAGAGTCAGATGCTTAACTGACTGAGCCACTTAGGTGCCCCCACTTTGTCCATTTAATCAAGTTACCTATTTTTTGCTATTGAGTTGTAGGAGTTATTTATTTTGCATGTCAACTCTTATCAGAGGTAGGGTTTGCAAATATTTTCTCCCCCATTTCATAAGTTACTTGTTCACTTGTTAATTGATTTCTTTGCTGTGTAGGAGATTTTTTAGTTTGGTCCAACCCCATGTTGTTTTTGCTTTTATTGCCTGTGCTTTTGGTGTCATATACAAAAATTATGGCCAAGACCAATGTCAAGGATCTTACTCATTATGTTTTCTTCTGGGAGTTGTATGGTTTCAGGTCTTATGTTTAGGTCTTTAATCTATTTTGTGTTGATTGTTGTATATGGTGTAAGACAGTGGTTAGATTTCATTCTTTTGCATATAGATACCCACTTTTTCCAATGCCATTTATTGAAGAGACTGTCCTTTCCTCATCATGTATTCTTGACACCCTTGTTGAAAATCAGTTGACTATACGTGTATGGGTTTATTTCTGAACTCCCTTCTGTTCCATTGTTCTATATGCCTATTTTTAATGTCAATACCATGCTGTTTTAATTACTATAACCTTGTAATATATTTTGAAATCACAAAGTGTGATGCCCCCAGCTTTATTCTTGCTCAAAATTGCTTTGGTTTTTGGGGGGTTCCCGTTGTTTCATATGAATTTGTCTCTATTTCTGGGAAGAAAATGCCACTGGAATTTTGATAGAGACTATATTGGATCTGTAAATTGCTTGGATAGTATGGACATTTAAAAAATAATAATTCTTCCAAATCATAAACATGCGATGTCTTTTCATATATATGTTTAATTTCTTTGATTAGTAGTTTATAGTTTTCAACATACAAGTCTTTCATCTCCTTTAGTAGAATTTATTCCTGCATATATTATTCTTTTGGATGCTATTATTATTAATCAGATCTTCTTAATTTCTTTTTTTGGATTGTTGTTATTGCACAGAGTATTTTCCTAATTTAAAGATGCTTACTTAGAAGGCTAGTACTAGATTTTATAGTATTTTCACAACTTAAGTGCTTTTGGAAAAAATGTGAATTTTTTCATATGTCATTTAAATTGACTAAGTCTCTTGATGAAGCATTTAAAGAAAAATATGCTTTGTTTTATGTTGTAAAGTCCTGTATTTTCCACCATCTGATAATCTCCATTTTGGCAAACCTTTGTTTTTAGCTTTACATGGGGTTGTTTTGAATTGTTTCTTTAAATGTCTGTATTATCTTCATTCTGGTGGTCTTGTCTGTATTTGTTTTTTCTTTTTTGTCCTTTCCTTGACTACCTTTATTTTAGTCTTTGTTTCCAAGATAGTTTTGTCCTTTTCTTCTTATTTCCTGAGTTCAATCAATCCTTTTTTTCATTTCTTCCTGATACATTATTTGGTCAGTTTCTTTTTAATTTTTGAATTTCTTGTTCAACATAGTTTCTGACTTCTTTGGCTTCTTTGGGGATACTGGCATCAATTTGTAGTGCGTTACAGTTTTAATATGCTTTTTTGGAGAAGCAGGGGCAGAGGTTTCCATCAGCTGGGCATTTTGATTTTCCTTTCCTATTTTATTTTTATTAGTTTTTTTTCTTTTAATTCCAGTATTATTAAGATGGTAGTCTTGTATTTCTCAATGATGCTCTGTCGGGCTAATGACACTACTAAATCCACGGACGTCATTTAGATTTCTGCATGGTAAAGATAATTTTTAATATTCTTCTAGATTACATCTTAAACAATCACATTGTTATAAAAATAGACCACCATCTTCACTTGAAAATGAAGTCTTAAGCAAAATCAATAGCATATATATGGCATTTTTTTTTTCAAAGAAGGCCATTTTAATTACGTAAATAAAATGGCCCTCTTTGAGAATTATTACTTGATTTATAATCTACAAGATGTGGTCTTGTGAGCTAGCCACCCCTGCTTCTGCAGCTGCTCACAGCTGGTGATGCAGCATCAATGAGGCAGCTGCACTTAATAGCCCCTCAGAAAGTTATACCAACCGCAACAGTAGCCACGGGTTTCTGAGAAAATTAGCATATTTTGTTTATGAAGCACATTAGTCAATAAGTACTTTTTAACTCCACGCTGCACTTAAACCTCTTTGCTTAGTGCTCTAAAAGACCACATAGTTCGGTTCTCTCTGGATTTCTAAATCAAGGTGACATACACTTTGGAGTCCATCATCCTTGGATCAAATCACCAATCTTCCATCTGCAAGTAAACTTCTCTAAGCCTCATGATTCTTATCTTCAAAAGGCACATATTAAAATTCATCACTTAGGGATGTTATAAGGATTAACTGATAAGGTTTTGCCAAGATTAGACGTGCTCGCCCTCTCAATGTATCAGTTAAGAATATGTTTGGCTGTAGGAGAAAACCAGACAAGTACTTGGTCAGGCAAGTACTTTTTTCTCCTCTCATTTCCTGCTGCCAAGAAAATGCAGAGCTGTGCAGTCCAGGACCGTGCCATCGGGGGACCTCGCCCCTTCTATCTGGCTGTCATCCTTGGGTGTGGCTTTTACTCTTCCAGGCACAAGGTGACTGCTCTATCTCCAGGCATCATGTTTGTGGATGCCTCATGAAGTTTGCCTTTTATTTCAGGGCACCGTTCTTCTCCAAGAACTTTTGTCTGTGTGTCATTGGCCTGAACTGGGTCACCCCTACTTGTAAGAGAGTCTGGACAATCAAAGAATTTTAGTTGGGCAGATTGTTACCCTGAGCAAAATATAGATTCTTTTAGCAACAAAGAGAGGGAATGGCTGCTGGGTAGGCAACTGATGTCCCTCTTTCACTTTGTTACTTCAATTCTTTGAATCTCAATGAAGTGGAAATTGAAGGGCACCAAAATTCAGACACTGAGCCCAACTTCTCCTCTCACGCATACACCTCACGTCATTCCCATCAAGTGCTATGAACACACAACACCGAAATGTAACCCACACCAACTTCAGGCTTCAATCTGACCGTGGGTGCCCAAACTGGCCTTGCTGCTCTGGTGATTGGATAATTGAGATGACCTTGGAAGGGCTTTCCGTGGCTCTTGCTTGAGTCTTGCAGGCTTCAGTCACCCTAAGTGAAAAGGATCTGATTGTTTTCATAATTTTCATAACCTTTCCTGTGCTAGAGATTGTGGGCCTTTGGAAAACTATACTTTGAATCCACTCTATTTTTATTCTCTTTGACTTTCCAGAGAGACAAAAAGAACACTTGCTACATAAAAAAAGAAGTCCCCGTTATTGATACTCTCTGTTCACGTAAGAAGGGAAAAACCTCACTACCCAGTAAATACAAGAGGTTCTCAGAAAGTGGGAACCTCCCTGAGGATACCCCGTAATGCCAAGTAGAGCACTTAGTATCATGCCTGGTGCACCGTGAATATCGCAGCTGTAGGAGTTCCTACTTACACAAACTTTATCCGAGGCAAGGATTGTTCCTGTGTTTCCAGTGCTTAAACTTAAACTTCCTGGAAGTTAAACTGTTCTTTGTAAAGATCGCTTAACTCATATGAGAAAATATGACTTCTGAGTCTTAATTTATGGCCTTTCGGTGTATATGGTAAATTTTGTTTATAACCAGGCTAAGAAATGGTACCTATTATTTACACAGATGTAAATACCGCCCCATGATTGCTTTAAGAACTTAATTTAGCAATCAGTTGCTAATCATTTTTTATTTCTTTGCCAACTATCACCGGATAGGTTTGTTTACTTGATTCTTTCTCTTTCCTTCCCTTTTTATTAGTCATATACTTTAAAGAATTTTTTTAACATTTATTTATTTTTGAGAGACAGAGAGAGCGTGAGCAGGGGAGGGCAGAGAGAGAGGGAGACACAGAATCTGAAGCAGGCTCCAGGCTCTGAGCTGTCAGCACAGAGCCCGACGCGGGGCTCGAATTCACGAACTGTGAGATCATGAGCCAGACTGAGCCCCCCAGGCGCCTTTTTATTGGTCATATTCTATTTGCAACTCTTACGTACATTACTCAATGCTTTAAGTACTTTTTAAGCAAATCCATAGACAACCTTCTCCCAAGATACGTGAAGTTGGTTATATTAATTTTTAACTGCATTATGCAAATCCTTTGTAACTTCCTTGGCATTGAGGCCAAGTTTCTTACTAGTCTTTTGCTCCGTGGTACCATCACAGGGCTCAGTGTGCAGCAGACACTCCATGTTTGTGTGGTGATTGCTTAGCTCTGACTTCATGGGCTCTTCCTATAGGAAATGCTGCCTTAGAATTCGTCCCATGATTGGCACTATTGGGAAGACAAAGGTCTCTAACAGGAGATTTTTGCTCAAGCATTTTTAAAAGACACTGTAAATTAGAATTGACTGCAAATGGCCAGCAGCCACTTTTAAGAACAAGATGATCCAGGCATAAAAAAGTTTAGTGACAAACATTCCACACACCGAATGCAGTCAGAGCCGGGAGAATTAAGGGTATGACAGGTTCTGCATTTAAAAACAAATGGGATTGTTAAATATAAGTACCAGGTGGGCACTGATTTCTGAGTTATTTGTACTACTTTTGCCCTTATGTGAAGCATAAAACATAAAACAGTTCAGCCGGCTACTGACCTGAACCTTCGGCTGAGAACCTGACCTGCAGAAGAGACTTCTTTGCATAAGTACCAGAAAACAAAGGCTGATGATAGACTTGAGGTCTGTTACATGAAAGGGAAAATAAAATTGTTGAAGTCGTAGGCCTGGGGCCAAAATATGCTGACAGATATCTACCTAGTTGGGGCTGTAAAAATGGTAGGCAGTCCTAAGAAATGTCTAAATCTTTCAAAATTAGCCAGTGAACTTTTCAAATGGTCATTCATGTTTGTGTTTCACACGCTGCCATCCTTACCCCTTCTAGTGTCTGAACACTTCCTGTCCCCCTACAACATTGACTGCAGTTTGGAAACCAAGAAGGAAGTGGTTCAATGCATGGGCTCCTTCCAGGATGGGGTAGCTGAGAAGTGTGTTGATTATTTCCAGAGATTCCGACGTTCTGCTCACGTGACTCCCAAGTCGTACCTCTCCTTTATTCAAGGCTACACTCTCACATATGGAGAAAAGCATGCGGAAGTGCAAACTCTGGCCAACAGGTAAGTGTGAAGTTCAGATGTAAAGTTGTTTTAAGGCATTGGCTCTCAACGGGGGGCAAATTTGCTCCTAGGGAGCATTTTGCATTGACTGGAAACATTCTTGTGTGTTACAACTCAGGTGGTTGGGAAGGGGTGCTATTGGGAGCAAATGAGTAGAGGTCAGGGATGCTGCTTACATCTCACAGTGCATGGGCTGGGCCTCCACAGCAAAGAATCAGCCCCAAATGCCAGTAGTGCTGAGGCTGAGACACCCTCCTTTTGAGCCTATTCGAAGAACTATTCCATGATTGCTAAGAGCTTTGTTCTTGCCCAGTAGAATAAAGTGTTGCCAAGTGTTCATGTCATTGTGGAAATAGGAGACCTGGAAGGAAGCAGTGAATACAGACTGCCTCCCTCCACTCACCCTTCTCTGGAATGCTGACATTCACTGCCTGGCGAATACCCTATTTCACGGAACTCTGTTCCAGATTTCACTGCTCTGCCCTGCTCTTTTCTGAACACTTATAGCTTCTGCTTGTATATGACTAGAACCAGCCAGGGCTGTTCATTATGGGACCCTGGGTGGCACGTTGGACTAACTCACTCTGAGGTCCCTGGTCTTTGAGGTCACATTATCTCTGGTCCAGAGAGGCAGCATTCCTTCACAGGGTGGTTCTGATGGCTTCATCCCTTGATTCGTTTCATTCCTTGATCCCACATCTTTCTTCTTTTAACTTAATTGATCTTTTAAAAACAAAACAAAACAAAATAGAAGCTATTTATTCTCCTTCTTCCACCATATGGTTTCAAGCATTTGAAGTCTATTGTCATTTAACTAAACTTCATGAGGCATGTTTCCTTCATGATACAGATTCCAGACCCACCACTGTTCATGTTATGCAGCATTGTAATGGGTTTACCCTCCCACATGTGGTCTATGAAAACCATATGGATATGTTCAGTCAGGCATCAACCCTGGATGTACGTTCATTTCGTCAAGCCCTCTTGGATTTGCGATTTGCACAGATGCTCGTTCTTCAATATGACCATTGCTATCCATATTCATGAACCAGTGCTTGGAAATTTTAACATGGCTTGCTTGGATTTTCAATCCTAGAATGAACACTGGATTGGAAAAGCTAAAAGAAGCCTCAGAGTCTGTTGCAGCCCTGAGCAAAGAACTGGCAGTGAAAGAAAAGGAGCTCCAAGTGGCCAATGAAAAAGCCGACACGGTGTGTGGGCACTCACACGTGTGCCATATTTAAGTTCCTGGTAATAAACGTTAATGACGTATGCATAGTCACTAAGTTGTAACCGTGAAAGTATAAATTGTTTTCAATAGAATCTACTACCCTTAATTCTCCTGTGAAACGTTACAAAAACAAAGTCAACAAATCAAGACAACAATGCTCATTTTCAGATTGCCAAGGTATTTTCGATGAGCTTTCTTTTTCCTCTTTATTGAATTAGGTCTTGAAAGAAGTGACAATGAAAGCGCAGGCTGCTGAGAAGGTCAAGGCGGAGGTACAGAAGGTGAAGGACAAAGCCCAAGCCATTGTAGACAGCATCTCCAAAGATAAAGCCATCGCTGAAGAAAAACTGGAAGCTGCAAAGCCAGCCTTAGAAGAGGCAGAAGCAGCCCTGCAGGTAAATCCCTATGATATGACAGGTGTCAAATTTAGTGCCTCGGAGGAGGGCAAAGGGAAATGAGTCACGGCAAGGAAATGCTCTCCTGCTCTGGACTAAAGTTCTCTTCTCTGGAGCCCTCTCAAGTAATATTTTCTGTGGGGAGATGTGATTAGCTCTTTATAGATTTCACTCTTGCTACTTCACATCTCATTTTCTTTACTCTTGAATGATGGGCAGTAGCATAGACTGGCGGTCAGGAATCCTGGGTTCTCATTTCCAGTCTGTCACCAACAAGCTATGTGACATTGGGAAAGTCACCTAGAATTTCTAAAATAACATTTCCCTCCTCATTCATTGAGGACCCTGGCGTGGGTCTGTAAGAGGTAATGTTCTCTGAGTTTATCTGTGAATTACCCAAATACGGAGCTGCCGATCTAATGTAGCTCGTTAATGGCAGATTTTGAGCAGGCCCCAATAATTTTTCAGTGTAGTTGGGAGGCAGGAACAGAAATGGCAAAATTAGAAAGGAGGCTGGATTCTGAGAAGATATGATGAGTTTAGTGAAATAGGTTCCACCTTAAAGAGCTGGTCCAATTTTGAAGGCTCAACTTAAGATTTTTGGGGACTCAACTTAAGATTACTTTGCTTCTGTCTTACCCGTCTACTGCCTTATGTTATTGATTCCTGGTTTAGGCAATGGCTGGAGAAATGAAGCCTTGCTGATCTACCCACAACTCCTTTTACCTGGGCACCCAACATAATTGAGCCCAATTCTGTTGGACACTCTTCCCTTTTAAAGCTAAAGTAAAATAATCATGTCCAGCTCCTTACATTTTGTACAACATTTATTTGACCCTACTCTCCCAAATGGCTGCTGTTATATTTCTCTCCTTTTTTTCATAGCCACACATCTCATATGAATATCTGCTCTTTCTAGCTCTGGAACACAAATTCTCCTTCACTTCACGTTGTCTTGCATCATAATATGCATCTACTGAAACAAACATTTTCAAAGTATGTAGTTACATTCCTAAATTCAGTGGATTTTTTTCTTCATTTTGTTTCCCAATCCTCAGAGAAAAGATTATTAGCTTTGATAAGAAGAAGGTCTTGATCACCTTCCTTTAATGCAAATGCAATTAAGATGGAAGGTTTGCAAGATCTGGAAGAAATGAGTGTACACCTTTGTCCTAGAAATAGGATGGTATCAGATTCTTATCCTTAGGATTTTTCCCCATACTTATTCCATAAAGTGTTTAAGAGATAGAACAATTATTAGCAACCACAGTGGGCCTGACTATTAAATAATTTACTAGATCAGAATCTCTGTGTTAGAAATGGAACAGGACTTCTCTGAGTTAGTGAAATTCGTATTGCTTAAGTTCCATCATTTAAAGGTCACTTCCCAGCTCAGAAACCTCTAATTATTCAATCTGTCAGCCCTGGGGCTACCTGCTAGTGTCAGTCCACTGTGACAAGTCTGGGTTGCTAAAGAGAGAGGTAGATTCTTGACCTACATAACTAATGAGTAAAAAGCACTGCACATTCTGGAGTTTTCCTGGGTTAGAATTCCTCGTATATCCTTAAGTGCTGAATTTTCTTTTTCTTTCAGATTACACTCTTTTTTTCTGACATAAAATGGTCTGTACAATTTTGGAGAAGTCACAGCTCCTTATTGCTCACCAATATTTCCCTCACTGTCTCTCCTCTTGATGTCAGTTTGAATTCTAAAAGTTTGAACTTTTTGAGACACACTTTTCTTTGGAATTAAATATGCATCTCAACCTTATGACTCTGCATCTAACTCAAACACGCTTGCTTTCCTCTGTCAAATTAGCAGTTTGAGATTCCAGTTTCTTATCTGAGATTACATGATGGCCTCCTCTCCTCTCACAGACTATCAAGCCTTCGGACATCGCCACTGTCCGCACACTGGGCCGACCCCCTCACCTCATCATGAGGATCATGGACTGTGTGTTGCTCCTGTTTCAAAGGAAAGTCAATGAGGTGAAAATTGACCTGGAAAAAAGCTGTACAATTCCTTCCTGGCAAGAATCTTTAAAACTCATGACTGCGGGAAACTTTTTACAGAACTTGCAGGTTGGTAGTTCAATAATGTTGGGATGACAGGGGACTCAGACTTCACTGGAGTATCTGAGTCCTTTAATAGAATAAATTTCTAAAGAGATTTTGCTGTACACACATATTTTTCCTTATTAATTTTTTGACCATATTTATTGAGGCATAATGACACACACAATTGTATATATTAAGGTTACAACTTGATGTTCAGAGATCTGTATACATTATGAAATAATTGCCAGTCAAGTTAAAGTATCCATGACCTCACAGTTACCATTCTTTTCCTTTCTTTTTTTTTCCTTGTTTTGTGGTGAGAACACTTAGAAAATTTCAAATATACAATGTTGTTGACTGTATGCATATTACTGTACCTTATGTCTTCAGAGCTTGTTCTTCTTGTATCTTGATACTCTGTATGCCTTGACCAACATCTCTCCTTTCCCCTCTGGCCTCCCCTGGTGACTAGCATTCTACTCTCTGCTTCTGTGAGCTTGACTGTTTTAGATTCTACGTATAAGTGAGACATGCAGGGTTTGTCTTTCTGTGTCTGGGTCCTTTCATTTAGCATAATGTCCTCCACAAACGGCAAGATTTTCTTCTTTTTAAAACATTAATAATATTCTATATACATATATTGAATATATATTTAAGTATTTTTTCAGAATAGAATTTTCTTTTTCAAATATAGACATTAGAGCTTTAAAAATAAGCATTAGATGGGGCGTGTGCATGGCTAAGTTGGGTAAGTGTCCAATTTTGGCTCAGGTCATGATTTCATGGTTTGTGGGTTCAAGCCTCACATCGGGCTCTGTGCTGACAGCTCAGAGCCTAGAGCCTGCCTCAGGTTCTGTGTCTTCCTCTCTCTCTGCCTCTCCCCTGCTCACACTCTATCTCTCTGTCTCTCAAAAAAGTAAGCGTTAGAGCCTTTCCTGACAGATTTTAGGCATACTGAAACATCATCAGTGATCTATTTGAGTAGAAGTTTAAAAAATCATTTTAAGAAGGAATGCATATGTATTGTATGCATATAAATACAAATATATGTGTGTTTATATTTTGCAAGTCTCCATAGTAATTTTTTGAGTAGTAATTTTCATGTTTTCAATTTTGAGGTAGAACTTATATATGACAAAATGTGCAAGTTTTAAGTATACAGATTAATGAATATTTACACACGTATATACCTGTGAATGAACACTGAAATCAAGATTTATATTTCCAGGGGCGCCTGGGTGGCTTAGTTGGTTAAGCGTCCGACTTTTGCTTAGGTCATGATCTCGTGGTTCGTGGGTTCGAGCCCCAAGTCGGACTCTGTGCTAACTGCCAGCTCAGAGCCTGGAGCCTGTTTCAGTCTGTGAATCCCTCTCTCTCTGACCCTCCCCTGCTCACGCTGTCTCTCTCTCTCTCTCCTAGAAATAAATAAAAATATTTAAATTAAAAAAAAAAAAAGATTTATATTTCCAGACCTCAGAAATCTCTTTTGTGTCCCTACCTAGTCAATAATCTCTCCTAGGGTAACTCTTATTCTCATCTTTATCCTGATAATTAATTTTGTTGGTTTAGAAATTTACGTATGTGAAATCATGTCACATGACCTCTTGTGTTGATATCTTTTATTCAATAATCATTTTGAGATTCATTCTTATCATTGTAAGGACAGTATTTCTTTCTTCATTGCTGTATAGCTATTCAGTATATGAAGCATTAGTGTGCGCTAAATATTTAAAAACAATAGGTTCTCTGGGGGAGAAAAAAGGTAAAAAAAATAAGAAAAAGTCTGATTTGTAGTGTTTGCCAATTTCCATGACAAATATCCCCACAATGGCCAGTTTCAAGCTACTGAAATAATCTTGCTGAATGCAGAGTTGGGAAGGAGGTGTGTAGCAATATAGTTTCCTACCATATAGGAATAGATATAAATGCCATCAAAAACATAGATAGTCAAATGTAGTAATGTAAGAGAAAGTGATTACATTTACTGTACAGTCTTTTTGTTTTAAATAACATTTGTTTAATTATTAGTTTCTAAAATTCAACTTTTTAATAATAGTTCTATTTAACAGCCAATTTGCAAAATTCCTAAAAATTTAGTAATGGTTTTCCATGAGGTTATATGAGCCAGCACAGTGTGAAATGCTGTATGTTTCCATTTATTTGTCCATTGTACTGTTGGTGGATTTTGGGGTTGTTTCTAGTTCTTGGCTATTATAAACAAAGCTACTATGAATCTTGGCCTATAGGTCATTTGGTGGGTGTATTTGTATTTCTATTGGCTCTGTACTCAGGAATGGAATTTCTGGGTCATAGGTTATCTATCCTTTTTAAAAATAGTTGTAAATATTTTTGATAGAAGTATAGTTGACACACAGTGTTACATTGATTTCAGGGGTACAGCATAGTGATTGAACAACTGAACACATTATGCTATGCTCACTACAAGTGTAGCTAACATCTGAATACATTTCAACAGCTTTATAGATAGCACCAAAGAGCTTTCAAAAATAGCTGTGTCCGTTTACACACCCATCAGCAGTGTGTAAGTTGTTCTACATCTTAACTATTTTCTACTTTTCACTATTCTGATGGGTTTGTAGTAGTATCTTATTAATGTGGGTTTAGTTTGCATTTTCCTGGTAATAATGCTGAGAATCTTTGCAACAGTTTATGAACCTCTTGGGATTTCCTCTGTTTAGTACCTGTTAAGATATCTTTTTGGGAGCCATTTCTGAACTCACTAAGTTGAGAAAAAAACTTCTTGTGAGGTTAAGGTAAGTTGCACGGACTCTTACCATCAGATGGCGACCGATATCCACCCCCACCCAATTGTTTCTGCTTGAGCACCAACCCCCAAGGCACCTTGTTGATTGGTATTCTGAGTGACTCATTCTGGCCTTGATATGCTGATGCACTTTGTGAAGGAACTTACTAAAGGAACTTCTTTTGTGGTTATGAGAGCAACACTGAGTTCCTGAAAGACCTGTTTTTCTTAATACCTCCCATTAAGCGATGAGCAGGCTATTGACCCCTGCTCACAAAGAACTAACTTTTGCCTTTACTATGCTAATGCCACTTCTGGGCTGTTCCCCATACACCTATGCATATCAATGTTCTGGAAAGTTTTTACTGATCAAAGAATTTATCATCAGAATGCCACTTCTGTGCCATCCCCCAAACACTAAATCATAAAATAAAGTTGACTCTCAGACAGTGCAGACTGGCTGGTGGCCAGAAAAAATCTCGTGGCTCTCACATCTCTCCCTCGCCTACACCATCCATCCTTCAGGGGCTCCTGGACTGGCCGGAGCTGGATTCCGGCAGTCTCTTGTCTGTTTAAATTTTTAATTGATGTGTAGAATTTCTTTGTAAGAAACATGAGTAATTTGTCATTGATATGTTTGCAAGTATCTTCTCCCACATTCTGCCTTAGTTGTTCATTCCGTTAAAGGTATCCTTTGATAAACAGACATTCTTAACTTTGAGGCCCAATTTGTCAATATTTTCCTAGGGAGTGCTTTCTGTGTTCTCTTCAGGACATCTTTGGCCTACCTCTAAGGCAGAATAAGTGTTTCTATATTTTCTTCAAGAAGTTTTATTGTCTTATCTTTCATATTTGGATTGTGACACAACTAATGGGGAAAACCAAAGTCATATCTGTTTCCAAAGCAATAACCGTAGTGCTTTCTTTCATTCAGTTTTCAATTCCACATGACCCAAGTGTTATGTGCCTAGGACATCTTGTGAAGCACCTCACAGCAGCTGTAACAGTGAGCAGCTTATGAAACTGGTGGCCATACTTGTCTCAGATAATTAAAATATGGCCCTCTATGATGTAGGTGCCACCAAGTAGTAGGGGAGGTGGTGACAAACTATGACTGAGTGTGTGTGGAAAGGCAGTGGTGACGGGGAGATCAAGAAGTTTTCACAGAAAAGTGCAACAGTGGGACTGGACTTCGCACGGGACCCTGGCAGGTGACTCCACAGTCCTGCACTATGTACCTCGTGGCGGGGCCACTGCTCTCGGAAGCTTCCTCGCCATTTGCCTTTTGTCGCCATTGTCCTTCCGCTGTTCCCAGATGTTCTTGTGATTTTTCTTCTGGCTTCATTATTTCTTTTTTTTTTTTTTTTTTAATGTTTTTTATTTATTTCTAGGAGAGAGACAGAGAGAGACACCGTGAGCAGGGGAGGGTCAGAGAGACAGGGAGTCACAGACTGAAACAGGCTCTAGGCTCTGAGCTGGCAGTCAGCACAGAGCCCGACGCGGGGCTCGAACCCACGAACCGCGAGATCATGACCTGAGCGAAAGTCGGACGCTTAACCGACTAAGCCACCCAGGGGCCCCTGGCTTCATTATTTCTTAAGGTTTATAAAAGAAGCTTGCATTGGAGGTTGTCTGAATGAGAGCACATGTGCACTCCACCCTGTGCTGTGTATGTTCTGTGAAAGCTTTGATTTATAGGCACCACGTTCCTTTCTATTCGGAGAACATCTAATAATCTTCTTAATTTTTTAAAATGTTTTATTTATTTTTGAGACAGAGAGAGATAGAGCATGAGCGGGGGAGGGACAGACAGAGAGGGAGACACAGAATCCTTAGTAGGCTCCCAGCTCCTAGCTGTCAGCACAGAACCCGATGCGGGGCTCAAACCCATGAACTGTGAGATCATGACCTGAGCTGAAGTGGGATGCTTAACTGACGGGGCCATCCAGGTGCCCCAACTCAGCTTCTTTTAGATGATCAAACACCACTTGAGGAAGGTCCAGTTTCATTTTTTGGCCAGTCTTCTTTTGATGCAGGAAGGCATTCTTAATCCACTTATGCTACTGTTTTTGCATTTTATCCTTTCAGAAGCTAACAGTTCTTTCATATTCTGGATAATTCTATGATTAAAAATTAATTCATTGCCCTCAAGACCCAATGTCCAAGTGATTACCTTTCTTTTTCAGATGAGCTTAATAGAACCTCTGTTTGAATGTATTAGGCATTTAGTTGCTGCTAAATGCTAAACATATTTTGTCCATAGGCTGAAAATACCTGACTGTATTTGTTTTCCATTATTGATTTTATGGGCTTACAATTTACCTGTTTAGGATTAATGATATGAACATGTTATTGCTTTGGAAATTTTAATAACCATGTTAGTATTCATCACCTAAATAATGTACTCTTTCCCTGGATCCTGGAACATTTATTTGGGGTTGGTGTCTGTTGTTCACCAAAGATAAAGAATGCTCTGACTTCTTCGCTGTCACTGCTTACTCTGTTTTCACTTGCAGAACTTTTGCCCAAATCCTGAAATATCAACAAAATATGATGTCATTCATTCATTCTTAGTTGTGCAACAATATCAATGGCATTGGGAGCGTAATGTGAGTGTGGCTTCGCAGAAAGAAGCACTTTGACTTAATTTTACTCTTTTTTTTTCATAGCAATTCCCAAAAGACACAATCAATGAAGAAGTGATAGAGTTTTTGGATCCTTACTTTGAAATGGCTGACTACAACATCGAAACTGCTAAGCGTGTATGTGGGAACGTAGCTGGTCTTTGTTCCTGGACCAAAGCCATGGCTTCCTTCTTTTCTATAAACAGAGAAGTTTTGCCTCTAAAGGTGAGCCCCCTCACGGGAGCCATGTGATGTATAGGGCATCCTACAAGGGCCCTCGAGCTCAACTGGTCTTGTTTTCTCATAGTGTGCAGGACTCTTTGGCTTCTGGTGTTATTTTACTCAAGTCCACGGGGAGAGCAAGTTACAGAAAGGCTGAGCGCAGGACATTTCTCTTCTCCTTAATAGCACTCCAGGCAGAATTGTACGAGTTGAACACGGACTTTCTACCAGGGTGCCATGTTGACTGTGGGCTGCTGGATATTTTTCCTCCACAGTGTTAACTTGGAAAAAAGAAACACAGGAAACCATATCATAGAATCCCCTGATAATGTCTTACTAGGGAGTCTTATAACTGAGACAGGGTTGGCACATCATTGGTGGCTGGTCTTGGTTGCAAGGTATGATGTGGTACTCCCTCTCTTCTCCTCAGGAAAGAAACTGAATGTCATCTGTTCTTTAATGTGATTTGAGAATTTGCCTGTTTCCTTTTGAATAATTGCATTAAAATTTTTTTAATGTTTTATTTCTGGGAGAGAGAGAGAGACAGCGTGAGCAGGGGAAGGTCAGAGAGAGAGGGAGATACAGAATCTGAAGCAGACTCCAGGCTCGGAGCTGTCAGCACAGAGCCTGACATGGGGCTCGAACTACAAACTGTAAGATCATGACCTGAGACAAAGTTGGCGCTTAAGTGTCTGAGCCACCCAGGTGCCCCTCTTTTAAGCCACAGCAACAGGTGCTGTTTAGAGCTGACCTGAGAAAAAAATGTTCCAAGAGTGAGATCCTTTTTAAACTGTAGTTGTTAAGCCATGCTTTTGCCTGTCATTGGTTGTAGTAAGTAATGGAACTTGAACTTTCCCTTAAAGAATTATTCTGCCAACGTTTGGGAGCCTGAAGTTTCCACACAGGAAAATAATTTATTTCCAAAAAAATTTTTCAAGGTCATCTTTTCTTCTGAAACACCCCAGAAAGAATGTGGCCCTTATCGTAGATTACCCCATTAAAGTCAATTTTAACATTTTAGAAACTTAAAAAAGAAAAATTTGATTTAAAAAATTATTTAAAACATCAAAATTCCTGTAAGCATCAACTGTTTTCTACATCTCCTCTTTTGCTCAAATTACTTTTGAATATGTCTTTTGAGTCAAGTTTAGTAGCTTCCTTAAGACAAACACTTCTGATTAGTCACAGCTCAAGGTATCAATTGTTTTAAGGAAGGCAAACAATATATGAAAACTATAGGAACAACATTGAGATTACCACGACTCACAAAATCTACTTTCAGTGAATAATTATGTCCCATTTTATCTTGGCTTAACAGCCTCGTCAACACTGATGAGTGCCACTAGGCAGATCATTCTTAATATTCCAGTTTTTTCTTTTTCTGTAGCTCTTAATATTAACAGTGTTCTGTAAGGTACCTATATGCATTTAATATCATAATGCTCTGATCTAAGGACTGGAACACTCTGGTGCACAGGCCAAATCTAGCCCACAACCTGTATTTGTATAGCTTGTGAAATAAGAAGAATTTTTACATTTTTTCTTTTTTTCTTTAAAATTTATCTATATTGAGAGAGATAGAGATAGTGTTAGTGGGACAGGGGCAGAGAGAGAGAGAGAGAGAGAGAATCTCAAGCAGGCTCTGAGCTGTTGGTACAGAGCCCGACGCAGGGCTCAAACTCATGAACCGTGAGATCATGACCTGAGCCGAAACCAAGAGTTGGGTGCTTAACCGACTGAGCCACACCGATGTGCAGAATTTTTACATTTCCATATGGCTTTTAAATAAGTGCCTGAACAGTAGCCTCGACTTTGCCTCCTGACCCCAGAGGTCTAAAATATTTACTATTTAAATATGGGGAAAAATTCGCTGACTTCTAATAAATTATAATTTTCTGCTTATAAGCATTTATATGCAGTCCACATTAAGATTTGATCTGGCCTGAATGCACCTTGAGAGGACTCCGGGTGCCACTAGAGTGCAGAGAACAGGTACAAACCACTGAGGTCTCAGACTCTGAGATGCTGGCTGCTCGGTCTGCTGCACATCCTTCAGCTCAGATGTGTCCTGTGCAGGCCAACTTGGTGGTGCAGGAGAATCGCTATGTCTTGGCCATGCAGGACTTGCAGAAGGCCCAGGCCGAGCTGGACGACAAGCAAGCAGAGCTCGATGTGGTGCAGGCCGAGTATGAACAGGCCATGACCGAAAAGCAGGTAACTGTCCCGTGGCGAGGGAGGGACCGTCGAACCCCAACAGGGCGATCGTCAACCCTCTGTTCCTTTGCCGCCTTCTCTCTCCAAGGGTTTGGTTCCCAGCAGAGACTGATTTAACGTAGACACGATACATATTCAACATGTCATCCCTCGCTGAGCCCTGGAGTTTGTCCCTAACACATGCCAAGGACCTCGGTGAGAGGTCAGGACGGTCCACCAGGACAGGAGTCGGTTCCGGAACATAAACATTTCTGAGTCTCCGTGTTGATGGTGATGGCGGCAGCACCTGGCGTAGCACTTTTTGTTATGTGTTCCCAATGCTGTCCTCCCCCTCTATCTCATTTAATCTCTGAAACGATCTTGCAGGGAAGCAAGGTGGATATTTTAATTCTCATTTTGGAGACAGGAACTGAGCTCCAGAGGGTGGCTCCCAGTCTTGGGCTGGACAGTCTGGATCAGACCTGGGCCTTCTGATGTCCACTATGGGCCTCTCTGCTGGGTCTATGCGGCTGACCCCACGGCTGTGTCCTGATGGCCATCGGCAGTCTTCTCAACCCGTGCATATTTTGCCCCTGGAAGGCCTTTCAGAATCTGGGTTCATACATTTTTGAGCTACTGGCAACAAGTTCTTTATCTTATTTCTATGAATTCCAGCTCCACTGGGGCCTATTTCCTTCTGGAAATGCAGGCAGCGTTAACACAGCCCTAATGTAATGTAAGCCACAGAGCCCCTTGCTTGCACAGGCTTCTAGGAGCTGGGGTTCCTGGAATTTGTAGTATTTAGGGGAAGGGAAACTGGGTTATGATTGGCAGGCATTTGTGTATAAACATTCAGATAAAATGCCTAGAAATTTCAGAGGAAAGGCACCTGAGTTTCTAAGTCACCAGGACTTTTTGGTGATTTTTTCCCCTCTTAGTCTAAATACATGTTCACTTACATGTTTTGTATTCGTAAAAAATCTCTAATTATCTTCTTTAAAAAATTTTTTAAGATTTTATTTATTTACTTTTTTTTTGAGAGAGAGACAGAGAGCAAGCAGGGGAGGGGCAGAGAGAGAGGGAGAGAAATAATTTCAGGCAGGCTCCATGATGTCAGCACAGAGCCCGATGTGGGGCTCGAACACACAAACTGTGCAATCATGACCTAAACCCAAAGGAAGAATCAGATACTTAACCCACCAAGCCACTCAGGTGCCCCTCTAATAATTTTCTTAAAGTGAATCCCCCAGGTTATGTAAGCTTCTAGACCCACAAAATCTGTATCTGCCTCTGATAAATCCTGTATTTAGTAAATAAGAGATAGATTCACTCTGTGCTTTCCTTGATGATTTTCTGGAGTTTCCTCATGCCCTTTCTCAGTCCTCTCTTGTCAGGATTGAGATACCTGCTCTGGTGGTCCGTTCTCTTCTGGGAGTCCCAGCAAGGGCACTTAAACACTTCAGTTTCACCATACGCAGAACGTGGGATACTTTTGCTTAAAGATAAGTCTCCTGAAAGCAAAATGAGAGGTTTTTTAGAAATTTTAGAGAAGTAATTATCTGACACCTATCTAGGTTTGTTAATTATACTCTATGGGAGTCACATATCACAATATAAGGAGACAATTAGCATCACAATTTCAGAGTCTACCTCAGAAACTATGGGGAAAATGTGGTAATTTCTACCATGTTGGACACTCACTTATGTTGAGAGATGCTACTGAATATACTAAAGATATTTTAGGCCTCCTTTTATTATGTTTCAGTTGTAACATTTTTTTCATTAATTCATTCAATATCCTTTTTTTGGTTTTGAGCATCTACTGTTAGGACCACACACGATCTGCTCCTGTAAAGGTATGGCTCTGACTTCAAGACTTGTTTCAACAAGTGTCAAGCTTTTTAAATAAAAAACCACAAAATCTGGCTGTGAGTCCATCTACCTCCAACATGCTGGAGTGAACCTGACCGTTAGTCATTTTGTGGCTCCTTCCCCCTGCATAGGGCTCCTTGAAGGTCCAGGGGGGTTACAGGCCTATGTAAGGCAGGGTGAGGAAGGGCCCTGAGTCCACAGTTCATCATGGTCAGATGGATAAGCTCACGGCCGAGACCTGCGTGTCCCCTGAAGAAGTGTATGCCCTGCCCCTCTCCGCACAGGGAAATGCCTTTGTGGAGGCTGCCCTCCCTAGGCCCTCTGGACAGCTAGTCACTAACGGAGTAGATGGGGACATTGTCCAAGGAGCCCATGGGATTCTGCTCCCTGCCTGAGCCAGAGTTGGAGGGAAAAGCTGCTTCTAACTCTCATGCATCTACCCTCCCTTCCCTTTACCCTCATCTCCTAAAGGATGTGGGATTTGAGAAAAAAAAGAGCCAAAGAAGTGGGCCCTGGCCATTTTCTTATCTGGCCAGTTGGGAGTGGGGATGATGAAATTCAGGAAGATACCTAATCATTTTTTTTTTCTTTTAAGTTTATTTATTTTGAGACAGAGAGAGTGCAAGCAGGGAAGAGGCAGAGAGAGGGGGAGAAAGAGAATCTCAAGCAGGCTCTGCACTGTTAGCACAGAGCCCGACATGGGACTTGAACCCACGAACAGTGAGATCATGCCCTGAGCTAAAATCAAGAGTCTGGCACTTAACCAACTGAGGCAGCCAGGCACCCCTAGATGACCTAATCTTAAAAATAGCTTTGACATGAAAAGTTTGTTTCAAAGGGAGGTAGAAGTAAATGATGCAGTATCATACTTCACAGCTGGTATCTTTCTTCTTGCAGAGAAACTAAGAAAGAAATATGGGCCATATAGATGTATGGGCACCCCAGCTGGGTTTTAGGTTTTCTGAATTAACTCTAGGGGGAAAGGAAAACACAGCAAACTAGAATCCCAGAGAACTAACTAGAATAAATATCTTGCTTTTCTAAAACACTGTATTGTGTTATTATTACAAAACAACTTGTCTTTTTTATGGAAAAGACACATAATCCTGGAAATGAACACTAAAAATATTTGCTATCATTTCCTTTCTGAACATATTCCTTGATTTCCATATGTTTTAAAAATATATGTAAAATATAACATTTAAAAATATAATTCAGCACATACTGCTTTGTAAATTGAGTTTTTAAAAAAAATTTGTTAATGTTTATTTCTGAGAGAGAGAGAGAGAGAGAGAGAGAGACAGCATAAACAGGGGACAGTCAGAGAGAGAGGGAGATACAGAATCCAAAGCAGGCTCCAGGCTCTGAGCTAGCTGTCATCACAGAGCCAACGTGGGGCTTGAACCCATGAATCGTGAGATCATGACCTGAGTCGAAGTCAGAAGCCCAACTAATTGAGCCACCTAGGTGCCCCTAAATTGAGTTTTTAACTTAGTAATATATCATTAATCTCTTTCTTAGTTATAAAAATTTTTACAAGATAATTTTTAATGTCTTCAGAGTATTTTCATTCTCTAGCACACCAAAATTTATTTAAATAATCCTCTATTTTATTAGACATTTAGCATATAAAACATATAAGTATATAATATATTATGTATAACATATACATAAATTTTAAATGAACTTCCAGTGACTGGTCCTGTAACAAAATTTTATTCCACTATTATTTCATACATATAAGGTTTTATAAGTAGAATTAACAGTTGTTTCAGACGGAGAAGAGGAGGACCATTTATTTTTAAGAACTGAACACTGTGTGGCAACAGCAGAGGGAAGTCTAATTCAAGGTGCTCTGACATGCAGAGTCAGAGCTGAGTCAGGTGTCACTGGGATTTGTGAACAAGCCTCGGAACACCACAATCTGGGGATGGTCTGAAGTTTCACCTAAGGAAAAAGGAGATGTGGAATTAGATAAAACAATAATGGTGCTAGAATTTTAACATGAGAACTATTCCCGATTTTCAAGCAGAGATATATATATTTTTTTTACTTTTTTTGTGCTATATGATATTAGTAAGTATGCTTGTATTTTTATTTCTATTCCTTATAGGGAAGTCATAAATGATGCAGGTCTTTGTTATCTCTTAGTGATGAATACGTGGGAAGAGTCTGACCCGTTGGCTCAGGACCCCACATGAAGGCTTAAGGGACAGTCTTTGGCTGACACAGGCACACAGGCATCGAATCTTACGCTTCCCAAGAAATGGCTCCCGAGTCTCAGAAGCCATAATATATAATGGTTTAAAAATACTTTTGAGCCAGAGGCTGTATTTTTCTGAACATAAATTTTCTTCTGATTATGGCCCTTTTTAGACCTTGCTCGAAGATGCTGAGAGGTGCAGACATAAGATGCAGACTGCTTCCATGCTGATCGGTGGTTTGGTGGGAGAAAAAGAAAGATGGACAGAGCAAAGTAAAGAGTTTGCTGCACAAACAAAAAGACTTGTAGGTATGTACATTCCTTTATTAATCAGAGTATGTGTTGACTATGGTAGGGAGTTAGCAAAGTGAAACTTTTATCAGAATATATGCCAACACTCTAGTACTTCAAATTCCTCTGTGTGTGTGTGTGTGTGTGTGTGTGTGTGTGTGTCCAGATATTTCAGAAGGATGAATATTGGTCTGGCATCTATGCAAACCTGATTAGATATATTAATGACCTTCAACCTCTTATCAATTCTTCTATGAGCAAATGGTCATGTTGATCAAGGTCACTTTGAATGGAGGCTCTGTCTTCTGAAGTTTTGTATCTCTTAGACTCCAAAGTCATACTCATATATCCAACAAGAGTCAAAATAATCTAGTGCTTGACACTAGCAGGCATTACTTGATGGACCATTTGGATACTGTTTAACAAGGAACCAACCTACTGCTTATTCACCAAGGCATAGCAACATGGGTTACAGTTTGGTTTCTGGAAGTTAGTTTAAAAACAATGGTTGCCTTTGGAGGCACCTGGGTGGCTCAGTCTGTTGAGCATCCAACTTTGGCTCAAGTCATGATCTCACAGTTTCTGAAGTTGAGCCCCATGTCAGGCTCTGTCCTGACAGCTCGGAACCTGGAGCCTGCTTCAGATTCTGTGTGTCTCTCTCTCTGCTCCTCTCCTACTGGTGCATGCTCTCTCTCTCTCTCTCTCTCTCTCTCTCAAAAATAAATAAATGTTAAAATAATAATAATAAAAAGAATGGTTGCCTCTAAAATAATTTTTAATGTTCTGCATAATTACAAGGCTGATTATAAAATACTTCAGTGGTGTTTTGTTTTCTGTTTTAGGGGATGTATTGTTGGCTACAGCTTTTCTATCTTATTCTGGTCCATTCAACCAAGAGTTTCGCAATCTGCTGCTAAATGACTGGAAGAAGGAAATGAAAGTCCGGGAAATCCCATTTGGAGACAATCTAAATCTCAATGAGATGTTGATTGATGCCCCTACGATTAGTGAATGGAACCTCCAAGGTCTGCCAAATGATGACCTATCCATTCAGAATGGAATTATTGTCACAAAGGCATCTCGCTATCCTCTGTTAATTGATCCACAGACTCAAGGGAAGATCTGGATTAAAAATAAAGAAAGCCAGAATGAACTCCAGGTAATTTGTGTTCGAGTATATTTACGTTCCTCGTCAAGTTTGATTGTCCCAGATGAACAAGAGTCGGAGAATAAAGAAATATTTGAAAATAGTAGAGATTGTAATGCCAATAGATCAATAATAGACGCAAGCCTAAAATCCAATATTAAATTCTTTTCTAAAAATTGTATTTACATTTGTGTTAATCTCTACTAATATCATCTTTCAAAGGTTTCAGACTCTCTTCTATTAGAACCTAAAGCTCTCTGTGATGCACAGAGCACAGTGGAGTTGTATCACAGAGTATACGGCATTTTACAAGGACACGTCATGATTATTCCTTTATTATTTGTCACAAAATTGGTGGTTGTAGTGAGAATATAGGTTGCACAGGGGAATGACAGCTTGCTAAGGATAAGGATGGAAACAGTTTGAGCTTTCTGTATGATTTCACCAAGTATGGGTTCCAGATAAGGATTTCAAAAAGTCTTTGCAATAGACTGCTTGAGGACCATTTAATATTTGTCATCTCTGGGCCTTGCGTCATGATACTTTGGATCCTGTTCTAGATCACATCTCTAAATCACAAGTACTTCAGAAACCACCTGGAGGATAGTCTTTCTCTTGGAAGGCCCTTGCTTATTGAAGATGTTGGAGAGGAATTAGACCCAGCACTGGATAATGTTTTGGAGAGAAACTTCATTAAGACTGGGTCTACCTTTAAGGTCAGTTGAACCTATTGACAATGATGTGGAGTACCATTACCATGAGGCCAGGTAAATGTGACACAGATGAAATCTTCTCAATAGGTGGTAGCTCAAATTTGAGGCAGCGGCAAGAGGCATTTGCTTTTCTCTTCTATACCTCCTGAGTTGGGATTCAAGTGTTCAAAAGTAGTCCTTTCAGAGATATCTACTTCACTTGTGTCATAGAATCTGACTCCATTTTGGTGGTTGACTGTGGACGTCTTTCAAAACCCATCATGCCCCTCACTCTTTCTGTCCCAAATCTGGGCAAGCTGATAAGAAAACCCAGGGCTCTCTCCTTTGTCATTGGTGGGAAATTCAAACCATGCAATCCTCTGTTCATGCCCTGTGCGGAAACTCTCATCCCACTCCTACCCCCCAGCCACCATAAAACCCTAAAATAGCCATTTCCCCCTACTTTCTCAAGCAATTATTTTGGACCTGCTTGGGTGCCTACCTTAATCTCCCCCCCAAAACTCCATAGTTGAGAATAAACCTTTTCATTCCCTTTTGGTGCACATGCGATATCATTAGTCTTGACCTCTGGACCAGATTTTGGGTAAGGAATCCATCTCATTTCTGTGGAATGATCACACCAATTTTGGTGTTAAATTCTACATTTATGGTATATATTGGTATACACTGAACTTCCTTCCTGCCCATCCTTCCTACCCTCCTTCTTCCCTTTTATCCTAGTGGCTTGAAGCCCTGTGAATGCCCAATGACCACTTCTTTTTCAGTTTACAAATACCTCCAGTTACATAATTGTTTAAAGCAATGCTTGATCCTGTGCAGAAAGGGACACAGTAAGATGTATTTCTGTCTTATTACTTTTAACATTATTTATTTATATATAGTTATTTTTTAAAGCTTATTTATTTTGAGAGAGAGAGAGAGAGAGAGAGAGAGAAGGAGATAGAGAATTCCAAGCAGATTCCATACTGTCAGCACAGAGCCTGATGCAGGCCTCAAACTCATGAACTGAGAGTTCTTGACCTAAGCTGAATCCAAGAGTTGAATGCTTAACCGACTGAGCCATGCAAGTGCCCCTAACATTATTTTTATAATAAAGGTGAAAGTTGGTGACAAGGAAGTAGATGTGATGGAAGGCTTCAAACTCTACATTACCACCAAACTGCCCAATCCAGCCTACACCCCCGAAATAAGTGCTCGGACCTCTATCATTGACTTCACTGTCACCATGAAAGGTCTGGAAGATCAGTTACTAGGAAGAGTCATTCTCACAGAGAAACAGGTGAGTGAAGTGTGACCACCTCCTTTTCTGTGTTGTGTTGCGATTCTTTCATTGAGGAAAATAATATAAAATTTGTAGTAGGATTGAGCCCCCACTTTTGTTCCTATGTTTTTTCCCTTTGTTAATTTCCAGGTGTCTTAGGTAATTACTAACCAATTAGCCCATATGTTTTATCTGTGTCTTGTAAATCACATTAATCAATTGATTTTGTGCAGACTAAGGATATTAACTATGAGATTATCAGTCTCAGGCTCGACGTCATTATTCTGGTCGTATTTTGCTTTATTTTTCTGAAGTTTGCTCTATTGTGAGCTCTATTCACCTGTTGACTTTTAGGTTCCAAGGATACAGCTAGGTTTTGTTTTCATTTGATTCATGATTATGCTTTTGGAATATAAAGTTAAACCTTTGCAGCAGATCACACACCACATTCTCAAGTCTCATTTGTTACCTAGGAGAGCTCTGTGTGTGATCTGACAAGACAGACATTTGGGGCTCCAGACCTTCACGGAGCACCTTTTGGAGGCTGCTGGCTTAGTTGTGCTCTGCAAGCGTAACTCCATATCTGCTTTCTTTACTTCTATTTTGCGGAATAACTTCATTTTCAACAAAAGTGGCCAATAATTCATAAACTTCCTTGCTTTGAGTCAGCATTTTCTCTAGGGAGCAGGTGAATCTTAAAGAAATCTGGAGGGTTTTAATGGGACTGCTTTGGTAAAACCATACGAACTCTCAACGTTGCTATTGATTGTCTCCTGAGTTCGTTACCAATGAGGAGTCTAGTTTACTTCATGGCCCCCTTCTCCACTGACCTAAAAGATTTATTTAGGTTAAAATTATTGGCAAAATTTTGGAATCTGTCTTTCACATTATTTTGATTTTTTTTTTTGTATGTTTCATGCTTGGTCTTCTGAGTCCTTTTATATGTTCTCTTTCTTTTTTGTTATCTCACCTCCCACCCCACCCCCCCTTTTTTTTTTTAGTTTTTTTAAATTGTTTATTGTCAAGTTGGTTTCCATATAACACCCAGGGCTCATCCCCCCTCCCCACTTTTTTATAAATATTTTCTTTTGAGTTTTTAGAGCATAGTGCATAAATCATGGAGTCATATGGTTGGAAGTGGCATTAAGAGCGTTAAATCTGACTTTGTAGATTTGTGTAGTTAGCAGATGCCGGAGTTCCTACCACAGACCTGAAGTCTCTTGAGGTAATGACAGAATAAGAACAAGAATATGTGCTTGTTTCTTTTGGTGCTTATGGAAGCTTAGCACTGCCATACGGTTACTCGAGGAAGGACTGGGATTCTTGATCAATAGCATGGAAGGTTGAGCCCGGAACCCTGAGAGTCATTGGGGCAGCGTCTGTGACCCGTGTCTCCCACTCGGCTTTCACCTGTGGCATTAGTTCAGGGAGATAAGAGGCCCTGATGGCAGTTTGAATAATGTACTTGTCTTTGGTTTCCTCACATTCAGCTGAGATGAATACAGTCTCCTTGGAAGAAATAATTTGACCTGATAGATTTTGTTTGCAATGAAATAGCTCTGGCAATGCAGCCATAATTGTTACAACAGAAGTTTAAGATGAAGTGAGGAGTGCTTTAAACTCCTTTGAAGACTTTGCTTTTTAAAGTTTTATTTAAATGTTTTTATTTATTTTTGAGAGAGAGAGAAAGAGAGAGAGAGAGAGAGAGAGAGAGAGAGAGAGCACGCGCACATAAATGGGGGAGTGGCAGAGAATCCCAAGCAAAGCAGACTCTCTGCTGTGCAGAGGCTGACACGGGGCTCGAACTAACAAACTGTTGAGATCATGATATGAGCTGAAGTCAGGCACTTAACTGACTGAGCCACCCAAGCACCCCAACTGCTTTGAAGATTTGAACAGCCTTGAAAAGCCAATATGGATCCCAAGTGGGGCTTTTTCTTACTTCCTGGAAAAATATCTTGAGTATCTTGAGAAAATTACTCTTTTACTATTGTCTCCTGATGAGAATCCATTCCAGCCTCACAGTATATAATTCTTAGGAAAAGTATGGCCATAGGAATGTGACTCCCACTCTCTTATAATATTAGAGGGTCCCTTGCCCTGAGCCATATTATTTTAGACACATAACCTATTTTTTTTTTTTTTTTTTTTGTGAGAGAGAGAGAGGGCACAAGTGAGTGAGGGGAAGAGAGAGAAAGGGAGAGAGAGGAGAGAGAGAGAGAGAGAGAGAGAGAGAGAAGCAGGACTCACCCAAAGCAGGGCTCGTGTTTACTTGAGGCATGGCTTGTGCTCACCCAAAGCCAGGCTCAAGCTTACCCAATCTCACGAACTGTGAGATCATGACCTGAGCTGAAGTCAGATGGATGAGACTGAGCCACCCAGGAGCCACAACCTGTATTTTCTTTCCTCTAACACAAGGTCTCATGCAAGAAGTGAGCTGTTGGGCTTAATTTTGATGAATTTTAAGCAACACACTTCCTGCAAGCAGCTTTTCTTTTGTAGCATGTGGTCTTCTCCCCATGTTCCTGCTCACGGTGCTCAATGTTCTCAGCCTGGGTGGCGGCCGGTGGGTCTGACATGATACCTGCAGCTTTCAGACCATTTCTTGAAATTGAGTAACTCATTTGAAAAGAGCTGACAGATACAAAAAGTGTTTTCAAGTTCAAATTGTTCCTCTGACCCCCATGACAATGCAGTCTTTCTAAACATGGTCACTTTTTAGGTAATTGTTACATACACTGTATCAATATAAAATGTTACTGAGCCATGGGGGGCTGTGAGGAGCAGGGAAGACTCCAGAAGTAAGAAGTTGGTGCTGGCCAGTGTGGGGAGGCGGCGCCAGGGTGGCTCAGTCAGTTCAACATCAGACTTTTGATTTCTGCTCAGGTCATGGTCTCACGGTTCATGAGTTCAAGCCCCGCTTTGGGCCCTGCACTGGCCGCGCAGAGCCTGCTTGGGACTCTCTCTCTCCCTCTGTCTCTCTGCTCCTCTCCTGCCTGCTCTTTCTCTCTCTGTCTCTAAATAATAAATAAACATTAAAGAAAGAGATAAAGAAGTTGCTGTTGGACAGCATCTTCCCTACACACAGAGCTGAAATCGAGGCTGCTCCTCCACAGTCAGGATAAATTAAATCTCACAGGTCTGCCAACTCTTCCTCACTGGTCTGCTCACTCTTTCTGTGGAAGGTGGCTCAGAACAGTAACTTAGGACACCAGAGACAGGCTGTTCTGCTTTAAATCCCTAAACTCAGCAGGAGTCCAGCGTCCAACTTCCGCTCAGGTCATGATCTCACAGCTTGTGGGTTCAAGCCCCACAGTCGGAGCCTGCTTCGGATTCTGCCTCCCTCTTTCTCTGTTCCTCCCCTACTTGTGCTCTGTCTGTCCGTCTTTCAAAAATAAATAAATGTTAAAAAATTAAGAAAAAAAAAAGAAATGAATGGAAACCTCAGAGCCTGGCAATGCAGGGAAGACAGATTGTAAATGGACTTTCCACCTTGCTGTCTGCTCCAAAGCAGTCCGCTTAACTGTGTGAGCTGCTCAATGTCCCATCAAAGCCGTACACAATTGCTGACCTGACATACCTGTGAGGAGATGTAAGCAGCCTCTGCCGTCTCCAGAAGGTGGGGTATCGAGATCATTTTAAACAGGTACTAAACCAGTAGTTCTCGAATGACTTTCCTTAAAACAAAACACAACACAACACAAACTCCTTGGGTCCACCCTCACCTTGAACCCAAAGAGACCCATATACTATCAGGAGAAAAATACTAATATAGATTAACAGCAGTTACTGGCCACTCAGCACCAGGCCTCAGGAGTCATCTTGCTCAGAATCCTGGATGAGCTAACAGGTACAGTACTTGGCTTCCGTTGGTGGTAGAAGCATCCAATGGAACCTACAGGAGAGATAATTTAATGAAGCCCCTAAACACACGTCATTATCACCAGCTCAGTGGTATAGAGAAAAGGTAAGTCCGAGTTCTCTTGCTTCATCTTTCTATGCTAATTCGCAGTGTAAGGTGCAGAAGAGAAGGGGCCTTTGGGAATGCAAGCCTGGGTGAAGCATTAGAAAGGGGGCTCTTGAGGGCCATCATCTGTTTTCTTTCACTGATTTCAAAACTTTGGTTACAGATGCAGTTTATGTACACAAATAATGTTAGTTTTCATTTGCATCTTTGTTGAACCACTTAATTTTTGATCATTTGATTAATAAATAGTAGGTTTCATGAAATTGCCCTGAATCACTGCTGTACTTTATCACTTTGGGGATGCTTTTCTTATTATCACAGTTTAATTTTTTTTAATGTTTATTTATTTTTGAGAGAGACAGAAGGAGAGAGAGTGAGAGAGCGAGCACATGTGAGTGGACGGAAGGCAGAGAGAGGGAGACAGGATCCGAAGCAGGCTCCGCATGGAGAGCAGAGAGCCTGATGCTGGACTCGAGCTCAGAGCCGTGAGATCATGACCTGAGCTGAACTCAGACACTTTACTGACTGAACCGCCAGGGTCCCTGTGATGAACCACAGGAATCTACCTCCAAACCAAGAGCACACTGTACACACTGAATGTTAGCCAATTTGACAATAAATCATATTTTAAAAAAAAGAAGACAAAAAAAAAAATCCAAATTACTTTAAATTGTACTGTTTACTTTCGGGTGTATTATTTTGTCAGTTTCAAATTTCTGGGGAGGGGGATGTATTCTTAGCCTTATTTTAATTCTTCGGGAACATAGGTGGTTACTTTAACTGACAAAGTGATTGGTGTTAACAATGATACTGAATTGACCACAACCATCTCAATAATGTTCAAGCTTTTACTTGCTATTTTTTACTTTTACTTTGTCTACATTATAGTAACTGTTTATTTTGTGAATAATGACTTTCATGAGCCACATGGGGGCTTTTGCTACTGATTCTATAGTTCTCAAGTGGAGACGAGATTGGAAATGTAGGTTGTAATAAGTCTTACAAACCATGTTGAGAATTTTGGACCTTTCAGAACCGCTGAGGGAAATCCCAGACTGGCTGGGGGCAGGAAAGGGGGTGAGGGCAGAGAAGAGGGTCAGCAGAAAGACCAGTTATGGTTAGGGTAGTCCATGAGGAATAATTAAAGCCCAAACCAGGGCAGCAGCTATGTAATTGGAAGAAATGGATGAAGGAAAACATATTATGCCTGAAGAGTTGATAAAACTGGGTGCAGTTTTTTTATGTTTATTTATTTTAAAGAGAGAGAGGCCTAGCACAAGCAGGGGAGGGGCAGAGAGAGAGGGAGGCACAGAATCTGAAGCAGGCTCCAGGCTCTGAGCTGTCAGCACAGAGCCCAACACAGGGCTCAAACTCATGAACCATTAGATTATGACCTGAGCCAAAGTTGAGCGCTTAACCGACTCAGCCACCCATGTGCCCCTGGGTGCGCTGTTTGGACTTGACAGCCTGTACTTTGGTCCCAGCACTCATGAAAACATGCATCCTTAGCGTAAGTACAAGATTAGAAAGTTCTCCTCTTTTATCCCTTTTGCAGCCACTTTATTATGCTTTTGTGATGATGTGTGAAATTCTAAAGTATGATTTATTTTGGGCCAACCTATAATTTTATTTTTCAGACTGCTTATTTTCCAAATAAGTATTATAGTGCTTCCAAAAATCCATGCTTGGAATGAATCAACAGAGGGGAGAAGAGAGGAGACACATCTTTTGAGCAGCTATCATGATTCAGTTACTGTTATAGCTGCTTTACTACTTACATCCTCATAATCACTCTCTGAGCTCCTTTTACATCCATCTCACAGATGGGGAAACTGAGGCTCATAACATTACATAACATGACCAGTGCTGTGCAGCTGATAGATCCTGGGAGCTGTGATTCAAACATGTGTCTTCCTGATTTCAAAACCATCATTTCCCCCCTGGCTTTACATTCCTTCCCTTACCTGTCTTCTTCAGGTGAGGATTTTTTGTTATGTCCAATTTTATTTCAGCTGAATGTTAGATAAAAGCTAGCATGTCAACAGGTATTATGTCGAGTTAAGTGGCTGTTATTTTTTAAAATTTCTTAATTTTATTTTTAAAAATCATGTATATATAATATTGTCAAGTTAGCTAACATACTGTATATATACAGTGTGCTCTTGGTTTGGTTTCGGGGGTAGATTCCTATGATTCATCAATTTAATACACAGTGCTCAATGCCCATCACCCATTCCCCCACTACCCTGCCACTCCATCAACCATCAGTTTGTTCTCTGTATTTAAGACTCTCTTATGGTTTGCCTCCCTCTCTGTTTGAAACTGTTTTTCCCCTTCCCTTCCCCCATGGTCTTTTGTTAAGTTTCTCAAGATCTACATATGAGTAAAAACATATGATACCTGTCTTTCTCTGACTGACTTATTCCACTTAGCATAATACTCTCCAGTTCCATCCATGTTGCTGCAAATGGCAGGATTCCATTCTTTCTCATTGCCAAGTAGATATAAACCACATCTTCTTTATTTCAGGTGAGGATTTATTTTTATAATGCTCACCTTTAGTAACCTAAGGATGATCATGATAGTGCACAAACTGTGGGAAGCTAAAATATTTGAATTTTCCCCTTTATTTATTTATTTTGAAAGAGAGAGTGCATGTACGAGTGGGGGAGGGGTAGAGAAAGAGGGAGAGAGAGAATCCCAAGCAGCCTGCATACTGCCAGCAAAGAGCCCAATGCGGGGCTTGAACCCACGAACCACGAGATCATGACTTGAGCCAAAATCAAGAGTTGGATGCTTACCTGACTGAGCCACTCAGATGCCCCAATTGCTGCTGATAACTTCAGATGTCTAGCTCTCTCAGCAGGGAGTAGAATCTGCTATACCTGCGGAACCATATTGGGAGTTCCCAACCGGATACTTACCCTGCGGAAGCTGCTGTGGAAAACTGAGTGTGGTGGCACGTGCCCAGGTAGCTCCACTGAGTCACAGCTGGAACTGCCCACAATGCCTTGTAACCACACATTGCTCCCTGGCTTCCCCATACTGGGTTTACACTGAAAGGCGTATGACTTTATGAACACAGCTAAGCATAGGAACCTTGTTCATGGGCACTATATTTAGAAAAGTTTTCAAGCAAACTCACTGATGCATATCTTCCTGTCCAATTTTTTATTTTATTTTATTTTTTTATTTTTTACAAATAGTTTATTGTCAAGTTGGTTTCCATATAACACCCAGTGCTCATCCCCACAAGTGCCCTCCTCCATGCCCATCACCCCCCTTCCCTCCCCCCACCCCCATCAGCCCTCAGTTTGTTCTCAGCATTCAAGAGTCTCTCATGGTTTGCCTCCCTCCCTCTCCCCCACCATTTCCCCCCTTCTTCTCCCCCACAGTCCTCCGTTAAGTTCCTCCTAATCCTCCTATACGTGCAAACATATGGTAGCTGTCCTCTGCCTGACTTATTTCGCTCAGCATAACACCCTCAAGGTCCATCCATGTTGCTACACATGGCCAGATTTCATTCTTTCTCATTGCCATGTAGTATTCCATCGTATAGATAAACCACATCTTCTTGATCCATTTGTCTGTTGATGGACACTTAGGCTCTTTCCATGTTTTGGCTATTGTGGAGAGTGCTGCTATGAACATTGGGGTACATGTGCCCCTATGCATCAGCATTTCTGTATCCCTTGGGTAAATTCCTCGCAGTGCTATTGCTGGGTCCTAGGGGAGTTCTATTGTTAACTTTTTGAGGAACCTCCACACTGTTTTCCAGAGGGGATGTACCAGTTTACATTCCCACCAACAGTGTAGGAGGGTGCCCGTTTCTCCACATCCTCCCCAGCATCTAGAGTTCTCTGATTTGCTCATTTTAGCCACTCTGACTAGTGTGAGGTGGTATCTCAGCGTGGTTTTGATTTGTATTTCCCTGATGAGGAGGGATGCTGAGCATCGTTTCATGTGTCTGTTGGCCATCTGGATGCCCTCTTTGGAGAAGTGTCTGTTCATATCTTCTGCCCATTTCTTCACTGGGTTGTTTGTTTTTCGGGTGTGGAGTTTTATGAGTTCCTTATAGATTTTGGATATTAACCCTTTATCTGATTTGTCACTTGCAACTATCTTTTCCCATTCCATTGGTTGCCTAGATCTAGAACTTTCACTTCTCTTGGAGAGAGTAGCACCTGTTCAGGCCCGGAAGATTATTCAATTCAAAGGTACCTGCAGCAGTGGTACAGGTTGTTTGCCTGACATTTTGAACCCTTGCTTTTCAGAGAATTGGATACAATTTCAACTAGCAAGTTGAACATAATGGCATTCAAACAATAGCAGAGCTCTTATAAGTAAAGAGACTAAAGGGAAGAAAATGTGTCTATTCTGAGTGATCTGTATGTATCTTTTCAAATATATTTCAATCTATTTTCAAATATATTTCACCTTTCAAACAAGCTTAAATATAATCACAAAAGTCACTTAACATGATTTGACTTTAGGAAATAGTACAGTGGATATCGATAGTATTTTTAGCAAATTTCACGTGGTTTGCTACCAATTCTTTTTCCTCCATTAACTCTTCTTCTCTTATTTTCATGGATTTCCTGCAGCCAAGTGTGATCACTGCAGTATAGGAGCTTGAGAACAGCTCACTAGGTGAACTTTGTCAGGAATGGCCAAGCAATAGCTGTTAATTAAGGAAGAAAATATATTTATGCAAATTAACAGGAATTGGAGAAGGAGAGAACTCATCTCCTGGAAGATGTAACTGCAAACAAAAGAAGGATGAAGGAGCTAGAAGATAATTTGCTTTACCGGCTGACGAGCACCCAGGGGTCCCTGGTGGAAGACGAGAGTCTCATCGTTGTGCTGAGCAACACAAAAAAGACCGCGGAAGAGGTGACGCAGAAGCTGGAGATTTCGGCCGAGACGGAAATTCAAATTAACTCAGCCCGGGAGGAATACAGACCTGGTGAGTTTGGTAATGAAAGACAAATGTCACAGGGAAATGAAGTGAGAAACAAACCAAAATCAGAGAAACTGAAGGAAGTAAGGACGGTGGGAAAGGGGGTGGCCATTACTGTTTTGTGACGTTGCTTTGGGACATATTCAGTAAAACTGAGATGAAAACATTTTTTAATGGTGTAAATTTTCTAGGTGCAGATAATCCACGGGCATTGGCAAATTCTTTAAGGCTCCTGTGAACTTATTTTTAAACTAGAAAGTAAAGAGGGAGAACTTTTTTTTTTTTAAATGTTTATTTTTGAGTGACAGAGAGAGCACAAGGAGGGGAGGGGCAGAGAGAGGGGGAGACACAAAATCTGAAGCAGGCTCCAGGCTCTGAGCTGTCAGCACAGAGCCTGACGTGGGGCTTGAACCCACCAACCATGAAATCATGACCTGAGCTGAAGTTGGACGCTTAACTGACTGAGCCACCCAGCTGCCTCGGGAGGGAGACCTTTTAAAGAACATCTGACTACAGTTTTGAATTTAAGGGATTAGTGGAGCGTGTGTGGGCTGCTCATTAGTTCTTTGTCATTTCATAACCATGAGCCAGGATTTTGTTTGTGGTCTTTGTATTAGAAGGTGGTTCCTTGGTCTCCTGGGAGTGCAAATTACTCAGCAATTTGCAAAGCAGTGCTGTTCATTGGTTTTAAGAGGGGCCTGCTAAAAGAACTCAATTCCCTTTAGAAATGTATCATTCTTACTGAAAAAAAAAATACTCAAAACAGCATCAGTTGCTGGTGGAGAGTCAGAAGCATCATCTTTGCGATGATGCCTTGTTTCGCCAACCTGACCCCAGGCTCAGTGAAGGCTCTTCATGGAGCTTAAGAATGAGGCCCATAAGATGCCTACACTCTACACAGTATGTTAGAGTGTTTGCTATCCCATCAGTTGTCTTTTCTACCTATGAAGAAATATAGTCAAATTCCTTAGGGTTCTAAATTCATAAGAGGTCCTAAAATGGAAGATGCCGTGTGATAAATACAGATAGCAGACTGCTTACACAAAGCTTATACATAAGAATTAAATATATATCACGAACATCGCTCTAGACTCTGGGAGCTGGTGGATAGTCATTGATCAAAATAAAACTTGTTGGTTTCATTTAGAGCTTAGGCTGCTCTGTGCGCGGATCATTTATTTTCTGCCCTCGTATTGTGCACAACCTTGCTCTTTGTCTTTCAGTGGCTACACGGGGCAGCATCCTGTACTTCCTCGTCACTGAGATGCGCTTGGTTAATGAAATGTATCAGACTTCACTCCGCCAGTTTCTCGGCTTGTTTGACCTTTCCTTAGCCCGGTACGTCTGTACTCAGGAAGCCGAGCTGAATTCTATATCTGTGGGCTCGAATGATGACAACACATTTATAACTTCTTTTCCTTTTGCTACTTTTTTTCCCTCTAAAACCTAAGTTTAGTGTAATTACCAGTGTGATACCAAATCATTCTCATTTGTCATTTTATGCTCAGAGACGCCTCTACCAACGATTCCTCCATTGATTGACTCCTTTGGTTTCATTAAATTCCCAAGATTTTTGTGTGTGTGTGAGTGAGTGATGATACCCTGCGGGTGAAATTGATTTAGGCAATCTGGAGGGTTCTGTTATGTTATTTTATGTTGAGGGAATGCTTGTTATTTTCCATTGAGGGTGCTGATTCTTGTGTAAAAAGGAACCGGCCCTCCAAAGTTACGTATTCTGTGTTAAAGATGTTGTTTTTATGGACAGTGGGAAAGGGCAGTGGGGTAAGCTGGATTTATGTGTTCTCTCCTCCAGGTCTGTCAAGAGCCCAATTACGAGCAAGAGGATCGCTAATATCATTGAGCATATGACTTATGAGGTTTATAAGTATGCAGCCCGGGGGTTGTATGAGGAGCACAAGTTCCTGTTTACCTTGTTGCTTACCCTGAAGATCGACATCCAGAGGAACCGAGTGAAGCATGAAGAATTTCTCACCCTTATTAAAGGTCAGTATAACAATAGAAAGTGTTGTACACAGGTCCAGATGTAGGAATTCGTTGAAGGTTCTGTGTGGTATTATTTTTTTTCTGGCTCTAATAGTTTCCTCGCATTTCATTGGAGGCTGCATATATGTGAAATATTTTATTCATTGATTGCACGAATATTTAGTGAGAATCGACTATATGCCAAGGCACAGATACTTGGGGCACATAATAAAACAATAAGTAAATTGTATAGTATGGGAGAAGCTATAGAAAAAGCAGAGCAGGACGGGGTATGGGGAGTTGCAGGGTGTGCAGACTGGGGAAGGGGAATTAACATTTTATTTTTATCTATCTATCTATCTATCTATCTATCTATCTATCTATCCTTATTTCTGAGAGAGACAGCGTGAGCAGGAGAGGTCAGAGAGAGAGGGAGGCACAGAATCTGAAGCAGGCTCCAGGCTCTGAGCCGTCAGCACAGAGCCTGATGCAGGGCTCGAACCCACGCACTGTGAGATCATGACCTGATCCAAAGTCGGACACTCAACCTACTGAGCCACCCAGGCGCCCCGGAATTAACATTTTAAATGGAATATCTAAGTGGGATATCTAATGGGTAGGCCTCCCTGAAAGATGGACAGGTGAGCAGAGGCCTGGAGAGACAGGAGGTGCTGGCCTTAGGGCCATGCAGAGAAAGAGTGTTAAAGGAAGAGGAAACAGCATCAAGGCTCTGGTGGGGTTCGAGCCTCCCATGAGACAGGCTGGGGCCATGGGTGGGGTGATGTGGAGCTCAGCTTGCAGATATTTATTCTGTATCTGCTGAGGCGTCACTCACACACAAGTCCCCTGTGACACTGCCAAGTACAGCCCAGTGGAAGACTAGGAAACAGATTTGCTCCCACATTCTTGAACGTCTGGACAAAAAGTATTTAAAGTAACTGTGGAAATGATGCTAGGGTCTATGGCTCTAGCTACTACACCTTTCTGAGACAAGGTCTATCTTTCTAGATGAGACCCAATTTTATCTACAGGGGGTGGAGGGAGATTTTCATGTTCACCTGGAGAGTAGATTTGCAGAGCAACTTGAGAAGGACCCTGACGGAGCAGTAGAGGAGGGGTGTGGGTATCACATGCTGTGCCCTGGGGGTGTAAGCCCAGACTTCTATGTGAATAAATGCATGTTCATGTTCATATAAACATGCATTTGCTTACGTATCTCATAGAAACAATAAAGACTCATTTGGTTACACTTGAGTTTAGAAATGTATGATTTATGGGGCGTCTGGGTGGCTCAGTTGGTTAAGGATCCAACTCTTGGTTTTGACTCAGGTTATGATCTCAGTGTCCCAGGGTCGTGAGATCAAGTCCTGCGTTGGGCTTCGTGCTGACAGTGCAGAGCCTACTTAGGATTATCTCTCTCTCCCTCTTTCTCACTGCCCCTCCCCTGCTTGTGTTCTCTCTCTTTCTCTCTCTCTCAAAATAAATAAACTTAACAAGAAAGAAAAGAAATGTATGATTTATGGACAATCTCTCTCTCTCTTTCTCTGTCTTTAATTGTCTGTAACCCTCGAACTTTGCTCTTTAGGTTTCTCTAGTTTTCAATTTTCTTGAATCAGAGCACGTGGATGCATTGGAGAGACATCCCTTAGATATTTGGTGTCAGGGTTGACTTCTTCACTGAGCCCTTCAAATAGTACTGGTTTCTGGTCTCATTGACTGGTCCTCCAGCTGATGGAAATCTCCTGTGGCAACTTGTTCCTGACATCCTCAACTCAGGCACGGAGTGCATCTCCTCATGAAAAGCATCCAGACCTGGTTGGAATACTGTAAAGTGTGTTACAGTTCAGTGTGATGATAGCAGATGTGGGATTTAGACTAAGGAAGACTAAGTGAAAATAGTGACTTTGCCGATTTCCTGAGGAGTGTGTCGAGCAGGTTCTTTAACTTTTTTTCAAGCTTCCACCTCCTCAGCTGTAAGACAAGCATAGTCAAATCTACATCATCAGATTCTTGAGTAGTCACACAATTTGTGTAAACCTTGGCACATAGACTATGTTCAGTAAATGATCGGCATTGTGATATTTTCTTTAGTATTTTAGTTTTTTTTGATTAGACCATGGCTTACATAGGCTTTTGTGGGTCCTTGGCATTCAACAGGTTTATAATGCTGCTCTGTGAAACGGAGTGTCAGAAGAAACTGTGGAACACAGTTCTGTTGTAAGATTGCTCTCAGTTGGTTATGTTGGTGAGAGTTAGCCAGTGAGTGAACTCCCTCTGCGAGGGTGTTTACTTGCCTGAAAATGCTTTTTAAAGATTTTTAAAAGATGTTTTGATTTATTTTGAGAGAGAGAGAGAGAAGAGGAGGAGCAGAAAGAGAGGGAGAGAGGGAATCCCAAGCAGGCTCCATGCTGTCAGTGCAGAGCCTGACTCAGGGCTTGACCTCACGAACTGTGAGATCATGACCTGAGCCTAGATCAGGAGCCAGATGCTTAACCAACTTAGCCACCAGGTGCCCTGAAAATGTTATTCAGTTAGCAACATTATTTTGATACTGGCCTTTTAATTTGCTCATCTCTGAGATGGGAAAGGACCGTCTGAATGACTTGCTAAATCTGCTTTGGCTATACCACCTTATAATTGCGTGGTATAACTAGTCTACATTTTTTGTTATAAGAACATATCATTTTTACAAAGTATTACCTTAAAAATTCAAACTTACTTTTTTCCCCAAAGTAAGGGTTTACAGAATGAAAGCAATGGCATAAGTCTCAATCATCTTGAGAATTTATTTTGAATTATTCCTATTCCAACTGTTTATTCATCAGAAGTACATTTAGTCTGGTACCATATTATCCAGGACTAGGTTTGTACCCATCCCATTACAATCATTCTCTGTGGTCCATTGTACACTTTTGAAGCAGATGAGGTATTCATGACACAGTTACCCTCGACTAAACAATGAATAATGCTTTGGTTGCAAGAAACACCTTTTCCTTTCCATAAATAGCTTCTCCTTACCTCTCTGGTGAATATCTTATTCTTTTGAGTTTGTTGGAAAGTGAGTGGTTTCCATGGAAATTGGTATGACATTTTTCAACATAATGCCATTGTCCTTAGGTCTTTAACTGCTCCCTGCTTTTAAAGCAGTCTGTTTTGATTTTGTGAGTTAATAATCTTATCAAAATTGCTTCAAGGCCACACTTACCTTCTGGGAAACATACTAAGATGGATTTGGCAAAAGACAGTAATTTAGTGGGGTCCATGATACCTGGATAAAGTAGAGATTGGTTCAGTAAATATCTTGAGTGTTATTTATTTGTTCGTGACCTGCTCTGCTCAGAAAAGGGTTTTAAAGTTAGCCAGTTAGCTAAACAAATTGATTATATCCTTTTAAGAATTATGCTTGGAGCATATTTTCCCTGAAACAGTTTAATAGATGGTATTTATTAAACAGTATATTTCACCCTATAAAGATTTTCTAACTCTTCCTCTGACTTAAAATATGAATTGTTTACACATTTAGTTTTTCTGAGGTGGGCAACAGTAACATTTTAAAGTGTCATTTATTTTATGATACTGTGAGAGTTACATGAATTGTGTGAGCTTAGGTAAATCAGCAGCAAGATGAGAGTCACTACCCAACGGAAATGTTTGCTATGGTTAGATTGACCAAAAATAAGTGATATAGCACAGGATCCTTGGATGGGCTCAAAATGATATAAATAATATACTGACTTATAGAAGAGAACTCTTTAAACACATGTAGTGCTGCTGACATTTCTAGATAGGTTCTCTCCTTGAAAGAGCTGTGCTAAAATCATGCACTTCTTTTTTTTTTTTTTTTTAAATGTTTTTTATTTATTTCTAGGAGAGAGAGAGAGAGAGAGAGAGACAGCGTGAGCAGGGGAGGGTCAGAGAGAGAGGGAGACACAGAATCTGAAGCAGGCTCCAGGCTCTGAGCTGGCAGTCAGCACAGAGCCCGACGCGGGGCTCGAACCCACGAACCGCGAGATCATGACCTGAGCCGAAAGCCGGAGGCTCAACCGACTAAGCCACCCAGGCGCCCCGACATCATGCACTTCTTAACATTGATAGTAGCTACTCATTTAGTGATGCTGTTATGGTCTTGATCCCATTTTGTGTGCTTTACACATATGTGTTCTGTCACTCTGTCATTATCACAACACCCAGGCTTCATTCTTCCCAGCGTGCATATATTTGGAAACAGAGACCCAGACAGATAAGACACCTTGTCCCAGACCAGGTGGGGCTAGGACAGAGTTCAGCCTCCCCTTGGTCCACACTTACATTGTTGACTCTTAAATGTGTTTTTCTAAAATCGCCTATTCCTTTACTACATTTTAAAGCTTGTCTGTTACTATGACATATTTCTGAGTTCACAACATGTCAAGGTTGTAAAATAATTAAAATGAAAAGTGTAAGCAAAAGCTTTTATAACTAGATTGTTTTAGAGTAAAGAAAGAAAGAGCTAGTAACTTTGTGTGTTTACTTTTAAAGGAGGTGCCTCACTGGACCTTAAAGCCTGTCCTCCTAAACCATCTAAATGGATCCTGGACATGACGTGGCTGAATTTAGTGGAACTCAGCAAACTTAGGCAGTTTTCAGATGTCCTTGATCAGGTAACTTGTGCATTGAATAAACACGGGAGTGTCACGGGGAGAAGCTGCCTGATTTATCACTAGCTACAATATTTGTGGAAGGGGGACTTTTTCACATTGTCACTCGTACAACAGTTTTACCTGTGCTTGACCTTCCTCATGCTCGCTCACTCTCTGATAAAGTGTAATCCACCCAAGTTTAACTGCTGCTGTCCTATGCTGTATGTCAGTATCACCAACTGCTGAGCCACCGGTGGGGAACCTGATAGATTTACTTAGATCATTAGTTTTGCCTTCTTTCTGGAGGTTGAATGAAAAGAATACAAACAGCCTGTATCTAAATGCTTACCTCTCATTCTTGTCTCTCTTCTTCTTCCTCTCCTTGTCCTTCCATTATATTGCCTGAACCAAGCATCTGGACATAAATCTAATGCCATTGCTTGGCTCTTTCTCTTTACAAGTTATTTTCCTTTCCCGACCAGCCAGTTCCCTATGAACTGTGTATCTACTGGGATCATAGAAGTTGGGTCTGGAGAGTTCAATGAAGACAAACCGGAAAACAGATTCTTAAAACTCAGAGGACCAGAGAGAAGTCACACTGACAGCAAGGTGGCTTTATTCAGCCATAAGTTGTAGGCTTTTTATAACAGAACATGAGCTAAGGTCGGCTCTTCAGTTTCCTCCCAGTTTTAGTTGACCGGAAGCTTAAAGTTCAGCTATATTTTTATGTTGTGGCTTATGCCTGGTGACCTGTGTTATTTCTACCATGTAATTAAACAACTTTCATTTGGGAGGTTGTAATGCACTCCAGCTTATTCTCCTGGAAGATGACTGCTAGTCACCTTTCCTGGACCGATATCTGTTCAATAACAGTTGCCGTCTTCAGGGGATTATCTTGTGCCTGAAATCCCTCCATGTCATATAGTCTCTCATGACTGAGGGACATTATTGCTTTTTACTCTTATATGATACCTTCTAAATACGGCACTGGACTGCTTTTTCCTTTGATTAGGCCTCCAAGAAATATAGCAGGGGCTTTAATCGAAGGGAATGTACCAGAGAACATAGGATTACATTTATCTTCAGATGTTATTTGTTTGTTCTATGTTTCTGAGATGATTACTGACAGAATGCTTGTCTCTCTTTGAGTTTTTTAAGCTCCAAAGGATAATGGACTGTATTCTTTCCCTCTTTATCAATTGCCTAAAGGAAACATGGGTATCGTTATTCATTTGATGATGATGTGAAGTGGTATATTTCAAATTACTCTAGATTAATAGAGTATTGACCAAACAGCTTTTTGTTCAATAATAAACATGTATTAAATGTCTTCTTTTGTGCCAGGAGTGGTCCTGGGAAATGAGGAAGCATCTGTGAATAACTAAATGAATTTGTTTTTGATCATGAGAGGATTTCATGGGGCAAATCAGATTTCCTTAAAATAATGAAAATGAGTTTTCATTGATTTCTTTATTCCTTACAAAATTGTTACCACAAAGGCATTAGAAGACATTAAACAACCCGAGACTCTCCCTACTTCAAAAGCTAGCTGTAAGCTGCCGTTAATACAGACTTACTTTAGAGTAAATCACATTTGATTTTAGACTTCCATACTTTTTGCTACTAGAATATAAAATAAGGAAAGGGTCAAAGGATATCATTCACACATGTCTGGAATGGTCAGAAGGTTTGATGAGAAATATCTGTGAACTATTACTGACAGATTTTCCTGTGCTGTGATGCAATTCTTATCCCCTGATATTTTCAGATATCAAGAAATGAGAAAATGTGGAAAGTTTGGTTTGATAAGGAAAACCCCGAGGAAGAACCCCTTCCAAATGCCTATGATAAATCTCTTGACTGCTTTAGACGCCTTCTCCTTATTAGATCCTGGTGTCCTGACAGAACTATTGCCCAGGTAAAAAGTACATATTTGAAAAAATGGGAAAATATATTTTTTTAAAAGATTTTTGATTATTTTTAAGGAATCTCTACACCTGGTGTGGGGCTTGAACCTACAACTCTGAGATCAAGAGTCACATGCTTCACCAACTTGAGCCACCCAGGCACACCTAGGAGAGTGTATATATATGTGTGTGTGTGTATATATATATATACACTTTTTTAAATTTAAATTTTAGTTAGTTAACATACAGTGCAATATTGGTTTCTGGAGTAGAATTCAGTGATACATCACTTACCTATAATACCCAGTACTCATCCCAACAAGTGCCCTCCTTAATGCCCATCACCTGTCTAGCCCATCTTGCATCCATCTTCTTCTTCTGTTTGTTAAGAGTCTCTTATGGTTTGCTTCTCTCTCTCCTTTTCTTTCTTTTCCCCTTCCCTTATGTCCATCTGTTTCTTTCTTAATTCCACATATGAGTGAGATCATATGGTATTTGTCTTTCTCTGACTGACTTATTTCACTTAATATATACACTTAATATATACACTCTAGCTCCATACACATCATTGCAAATAGCAAGATTTCATTTTTTATGGTTGAGTAATATTCTGTTGTGTGTGCGCACGCACACACACACACACACACACACACACACCTCCTTTTTCCATTCATTAGTTGATAGACATGTGGGCTCTTTCCATAGCTTGGCTATTGTTGATAATGCTGCTATAAATATCAGGGTGCATGTGTCCCTTTGAATCAGTACTTTTGTATCCTTTGGGTAAATACCTAGTAGTGTAACTTCTGGATCATAGCGTAGTTCTATTTTTAACTTTTTGAGTAGCCTCTAAACTGTTCTTCAGAGTGGCTGCACCTGTTTGCAAACCCACCAACAGTGCAAGAGGGTCCTCCTTTCTCTAGGAGAATATTTTTAAGAATTTCCTTTGAAATATAAAGAAATATTAAAAATTTTAATCCCAATGAGAATTTTCTTGGAGTCATCTTTGTAATTTTCTACCAATACCTACGTGCAAAATGGAAAAACAAATAAAGACAGCAAGCTGTACATTTGGGCTAAATGATTTAATAATCTTCTCTGGTCTAAATGGTACATGAATGAATGAGAAAGCTGTGTTTGTAAGTTGTCATATAGGTATAACATAAAGGTAATATATAACTCTTGCATACCATTTTTATACTAACTTAGAAATGATATGTCTGCTCCATATTGTTAGTGGTAAAAGGACACTCCTTTAAATAGGAATGATGAGAAGTTACTAGGAGGAGAGACAGACAAGAGGGGAGCACAATATTCCCAAATCTATAGCTATAACCCCAGAAAGTCTCACAACCCCTGATGCAGGAATTGGCCTAAGATTCTTTGAATTTTACATGTGGCATAAGTATGCATCCTGCCTCCAAAAGATTCATTTTTTCAAAGACCTTTAATTTGCTGGCCTGCCATCATGGAAATGCCACTGCTAACCAGACCCGCTGTATCCTGCCTTCACAGTGAAAAACTTAAATGTTCAGCTCAGGCTGATTCCTTAGGGGCTTCTCCAAAGACACCGTGCAGTAAAAACAGGCTGGGTTTATAATAGAATTTAGGAAGTTCAGCCCTTCACTCTCTGGAGGGAGTATTAAAACCATATGGAGTAACCATCTCCAAGTCCATGTAGGTACCAAGACATCATGAAAACAATTAGATTCAGTGATTTATTGAGAAAAGAAAAATGAGTTTTGCAATGCAGGGCAACTGAGATCACCCTTCCTTCAGTTTTTCTTCTCAACTTCATTACTTTTATCTTCCCCAAAAGAATTGTCAAACTGTTGCCTTAAGGACAGTGTAGAAAGTTCAAGTCATTCTGTTTCGTTTCGTTTCGTTTCGTTTCCTTCCTTCCTTCCTTCCTTCCTTCCTTCCTTCCTTCCTTCCTTCCTTCCTTCCTTCT